TGCTCCCTGAGCTTAGAACATAGAGTTGATTAACGATAACTCTATTATTAACAATAAGAGAGTCAGTTAACTAATAATAACAATAACATAGATACTTAATATAGCATTTTTTTGTGTGCCAAATATTACTTTGAGGAATTTTTGTATGGTTACTTTACTTAATCCTCACTACAACCTCACACAGTAGAGTGTTATTATCCCCATTTTCCAGATGAAGTAACCAAAGCAAAGAGAGGTTAAGAAACTATTTTAAGTATGCCTCAGGTCACACACAGGAAATGGGTCTAAGTGTTAGAGATGTGATTCAGGCCCAAGCAGCTCGACTCAGCATCTGTAATCATTACGACCGTGCTTTGCTCATCATCTGTGATGATTAAGACAGACGATGGACAAATAAATGTGTGATGAGTGTCCTAAAGAGAAAATAGCAGAGTTCAATGGGGAACATGTAGGAAAGAGTCTTCTGGTAGGGGCCGAGCAGCTGAGTTCTGACAGAGGGTCAGGCTAAGTCGGGTGAAGGGAGCAGGGACATCGTGGGAAGAGTCCTGACAGAGGGTCAGGCTAAGTCGGGTGAAGGGAGCAGGGACATCGTGGGAACCACATATGATGACTGGAAGCAACTGGTGTGGTCGGACCTTGTCATGGTATCAAGAGAGGGGGAGGGCCCAGACAGGGAAGGATCTTTTGGACAGTTTCAGGTTTGGGATTTTATATTAAGAACATCAGGAAGCTAATAGAAGATGTGTATTATGGAGTGTAGCCTGGTCTGGTTTGTTCCACACAAATAAGGAGAATTGTCCGGAGACTAACATGTGGGAGGTTCTCCTGGTAATAGATTCTGACCCAATGATAGAAGTAAAGTAGAGAGGTGAAGCGATTTCACCAGGCTGGTGAAATATTTAGGATGTAGAATAAACAGGATATACAAACCTAGTTTCTAAATAGTATATTTTGTACTACCGTTAGCACACTTAATTTTTTTGGTATGTCTTTGAGCATGTGTGTTTAGAACCACAAATAAATATAATTTAATAGTAGTAATGGATTAAATAGTAGAAATAGATTAAATGGTTTGAAACATGCATTACAAAAAAAAGTTAATTTGTGATTCTTCTGTGAAAGGCTTGGAAGATACCTAATTAAACAAATAAAGTTGAAGTAAGTTGCTTTCAAATTATATTCCAGCCCATATTGAAATTTCTTTCTGAGCCAATGCATTCACCTGACAAAAGGGCTTTTGTACCATTTCTGGAAGGGACCTTTAAATTTGTCAAAAATCTTATGTTATTGACTATTCACTTCTAACCCTGAAAAATGAAATCTTTCCAGGACGTACATTGTCATTTTTATGTGGTTACTAGAGACCCAGTGCATGGAATCATGCACTCGGGGGTTGGGTCCCTCAGCCCTGCCTGCGCCCTCTTGCAGTCCAGGAGCCCTCGGGGGATGTCCGACTGCTGTGGAGATGGGAGAGGCTCCTGCCACTGCGCTTGCCAGCTGTGAGCCCAGCTGCTGGCTGAGCAGGCCTCCACCTGTGGGAGTGCACCAACCACTAGGGGGCAGCTCTTGTGTTGAGCACCTGTCCCTTGGTGGTCAGTGCACGTCATAGTGACTGGTAACCTTTTATAATATAGGATTATTGTGCTTCTGAAGCATGTATTTTAATTAGGTGTCATTCGCCTTGATTGAAAGCATGCTGAGCTACTAACATCATAGGTTGTTTTTCATAACTGTAGTCACTAAGCAATATATTAATAAAATGGTGCCTGAAGTCTTAGCAGTGTTGGACAAGGCCATAGTGACTTCCCCACTGCACTGTCCAAGGTCCTTTAGTCTCTTCTGATGTCTTCAGAGGGGTAAGAAACAGTGCGGTCTCTAAGTGCCCCGGAAGAAGATGTTTCAGTGGCACCAGAGTCACAGCATGGCTACCAGGCTGTTGATCAGTTTTAGTAGTGTTGCTGAAGGAATGGTTACGCAGCCCTCTGAGGAATAGCAGCAGTAACTATTTCTGAATCAAAATAGTTATTTATTCAAGTACTCTTATTTTCTACTTTGTAGTCAAGCTGTTTCCACATCGGTCTAGTAAGTAGGAACTTCATGTTGCAGGAAACTAGGTAACTGGACAAAAAATTTTCATCATCTGGAAAGTGGAGATGGTGACAGGAGCTACAAAGATTGAAAAAAAGGAGTATATCTTTCTCCCAAGAGATGAGCACTCAGTATATTCACTCACTGTCGTGATGGGGCCTTGGATAGTGTCGTTTGTTGAGGTGAAGCTCTAACCTTATGTCTCTTAAATCTCTACCAGTTTAAATGAAGTCTTCAGTAGTACATATCTGCATTATGTAAGCAAGGCTTTCCGTAATAACATTTTTAGAATGTGCTGATCCAACCTCTAACAAATAAAGCAAATTAGGGAGAACTAATATGGTTATAAATACTTTTTTCAAATACAGTAGATATAAAACAAATGTAATATTTTTGCTCTTTAAAGCAGATTTTTCTTAGACATTTGTAGCTTAAAATATGCACTTTATCAGAAACAAATTGTGAATGAAATTACTAGTTAATAGGGAACTTTATTTCAGAGAAAACTAAACCTGATAGATTGTAATGACCCAGCTGAGGAGCATTGAACTGGAAAGAGCAGGATGGAACAGACGAGGTTGTGAGCTCTGGGCCTCAGAAAGACCCTCTCACTCATACCTCGCTTCAAGAAACTTGGTTCTATGCTGCGAAGTAGTGTTTTGGCCAGAGACACCCTGATTATTGCAGTCTATAGGGAGGTGCCTGGATTCGGGAGTCCAAAGTTGTGTAGCTGACAGAGGGGTGCATTCTGCCTAGATAGTGGGACAATTTTACACAAGACTGCTGAGTTCCCAACAACTTACACCAACTGTGGTCATTTTATAAATTAAATGAATTCTACTGTGTGTGACATGATTTACATTATATAGGTTATATTCAGGAGAGAGTGGAGGGTAACTCTGTAGTAGATTCCCTAAGGAAGAGGGTTTTAGTTTAACAGTGACCATCCAGAGCTTCTTGGTTTTGGGTGGTGGTGGGGCCTGACTATTTAAATAAGGTATTTTTTACACCATTCTCACCTCTTGACAACTCTGCTTACTGTATTCCTATAGTCATAGCATGCAATCTAAAAACCCTTCTAATTCTAAAGGAAAGCTTTGAAGTAGCATTTAAATTTCACAAGGCTTCCTAACCAAGGTGTATCTAGGAAATTTAGTCCTACAGTTCTTTCACACCTGCATGGTTTTCTTTTTATTCCTTCTTTAAAATAAAATAGCAAAGCACTTTATAAAACTTTGTGAGATAATGAAAAAAAAAAAAAAAACAGTCCTGTTTCACCACTTAGTTTCCCTGAGCAGCAGTCTTTCGCTGTCCTCACCAACTCCAGATGCCTAAAGACCATGGCTTCGGCAACAGTGAGACCAAAATTTCAGCAATAGAACTAAAGAATACAGGAAAGCTGTGTGGACAAATGACTAACAAACATCAAAAATTTCAGAGATGGTCAAGGGCAAGATAGATGTTTTAAAAGTTTCATTCTTGGTAACTTTATGTAATCTAAAAGTCTGTTAATTATTTTATCAGAATGTCATTTGGCAAAATACCTCCTATGAAATAGTGTGATAACAAATCTTTGGATGTTGTAAGGGATTGCTAATTTATTTCCAGTGCTGTTTATATCAAGGACATAAGTCATAACACCAGTAGTACAGTGATTTTACCATTTGGGAATTCGGCTTTAGAATTGATTTACATGTTTATTTTCAAATAGTAATTGATGTTATGGAAGAGGACTTCTTATGAGACAAAGGTAAAGATAGTGTTACCAGCCTGATTTCTCAGCTCTTGGAGAGAATCCCTCTCCTTCCACCGCAGTTCTGTTTAGGAGTCTTGTGACTTGTTCTCTCTCATGATCAAAGCTAGACAGAGGGTCTCTGAGATTCTCTCTTAATAAGTGCGCCAGTGTCTCCAGCAGAATTCAAAAAGATGGAAGTCCTTAATGTAAAGTGGACTCAGGACCACAGAGCCTAAGTAGTTTGGGTTTTGTTAAGTTGTTAATTGTTTTTGTTGTTATCTTACAAGACAAAGCTTGTATCATTCCTTGAACTGGTATCAAGAAAACAATTATATTACAGGAGAGTTCTCTTTCCGCAGGCACTGGCTGAAACGGTACATGTTTGACTACATAGTAATTTATATTCCCTATGTATTTTAATGCTCCCCTAAGCTGCTCTTTATCATAAAAAAGAAAAAATTTTAAAGCCCTATTTAATATTGCTCTCGAATATCTGTACTTTGAAGTGGTCTATATCAATTTCTGTAGAGTTTCTTAATTTTATTTGCCACTTTGCAAATATTATGTTCTTTGAAATAGAGGTATGTCATGGAAATCACCTATAGATTTGTAAGAGGAAATTCCCTTTTCTCTAATTTAGTGACCAAATTTCTTGCAAGATTAGCCAGGAGGAAGAGATTAAATATACCAAAACATATGGTCTAATAACAGAGTTTTAGAAAGTTACAAAGCACTGGAAATTTTCTCCCTTCTCCCCCAGATTGTGTCTATGAATTTGAAAGAATTTCCTTTTGGAGCCCTTGCCTCCTCTCAGTGTTTCTGTAGTTATTATTGATGCGATAGCAGCTGAAGTAGAAAATCATGAGCATTCTGTTAAATAAAAGTACCAGTTTATAACGTATGTCATTGCATGTTAATATTCTTTGAGTCCCTAATGATGAAATGCAGTTCTGACTTCCATCTGAATCCAAGGGAGTCATGTACACAAGGCTAGAACAGGATGCAGTGCCGCTTTGGAATATGAGTGTTTCTATGACACTTGCCCTTGAATTTAAGTGAGAACCATAACAGAAGTGAGAATTATGATGAGGACAACCTAATTTAAGTTTTATAAATTTTAGGAAATGTCATCTTTTATTTCAGAGACTTTTTCAAATGTTTTAAACACAATTTTCAGATAACAATAATGAAAAGCTGAACCCCAAACCAGGGACAGGTGAACCAGTTTTAAGTTTGCACTACAGCACAGAAGGAACAACTACAAGCACAATAAAACTGAACTTTACAGATGAATGGTAAGTTCATATTTTTGTAAAGATGTTCTTAGCCATTTTGTAGGATTTTGTTAGATATTATTTGCAGCACTTCATCTTTGTGCCTTGCTTTGCTATGCGTGCTTCAGAATCACTTGGAGAGCTCGTTAAAAAAAGGACTGGGTCCTACTCAGAGTTTATTCAGATTGAGGAGGGATCCGAGAATTTGCATTTCTAGAAACTTCCCAGGTGATGCTGATGTTGCTAGTTCTGGGATATCCCTTTTGATAGAAAATGACGAAGATAAAAAGAATTAATCACCTATAGACCATTTGTGTAAAAATAATGAACCTAGCACTTTGGAGCTTTTTGTAGTCTGGGTCCTGTGTATATATATATATGTGTGTATCATTTTTGTTTTTAGTTTTAAATCATAATTTTAATCGTGTTGATTGTATTCTCTCCTCCATTTATTTGACTTAAGTTTATAATAAATATTCACGTTACTACTTAGCTTTGATAAATATTATTTTACTACCTGTATATAGCCCATCAAGTAGATGTACTACAGTGCACTTAACCATTTCTCTTTAATTGGGCAGTGAATTTGTTTATCCTTTTTTTATTTAACTAAATAAGATTATAATGAATATCTTTGTTTACAGGCTTTTTTCCTACCTTTAAGATTACTGATTTGAGTCAAAGATATTGCCAAATTACTTTCAAAAGAATCTTGTATCATTCCATTTTACTAGCAGCACATGAAAGTACACATTTGCTATCTCTGGGCCAATATTCAATATATTATTTTTTTAACTTGTATATTTGATTTTAAAATAACATTTGTTTCTGTTTAATTGATTACTAGTAAGATTGAGCTTTGTATTTATTTAATAGTTGTATAGGTTCTCTTTAATGATATTTCTGAATATGTTTATTCCCATTAACCTAGTTAAATCTTACTCTTTTAAAAAAATCAGTTATGTAGACTTCTTATATTCTTTCCCACTGTTTCATGGCCTTCTGCTTCAGATTACCTCCAACATTTTTATTTAAATTTATTACTATTGCTACTTAATATTAATAAAAAAGTAATATGATCTTTCCTAATATGTCATTAATTATGTATTAATATAACTACATATATAGTAATTGTATTAATCATTTAATAACCAGTATATTAATTATTTGGCATAATTAATATATTAACATACTTAATCACATATTAATATAATATATAATGTGCATAAATACTATATAATGTCATTATATATTGTTTATTAATATATAATTAAATGTTCATATGATATTAATATTTATGTATTCCAATTCACTGGTTTCTTTTTGTGTTTACATGTGTATGTATTTTGCATTAAAATCTGTGATTAAGTAATATTTTCAAATATTATAGAATACTTTCTATGTTCCAGACACTATTGTAGATATGGGGAATGCATCAGTGAAAAAAGTAGGGGGAAAAAATTTCTGTCCTGTAGGAACTCACATATCTGAGGAGACAGATAATACATATAATAAATAAGTGAATTGTATAATACATTAGAGTACTAAGTACTCTGGAAGAAAAGGTGAGGGTGGTTGACAGGGTGGGCAGTAGCATTGGGAGGATGAGGAGGAGTGAGCTAAGCACAGCTTGGGGAAGAGCAGAGAGAAAGCCAGCACAAGGCTCTGTAGGAGCAGACCTACTATGTGTAAGGGAAGATACATGTGTAGCCAGAGGGGAGTGACCAAAGGAGAGAGCAATGGCAGAAAAGAGCCATTTTCTTTTCATGAACAGCCGACTAAGTGAGGAGGACATTTGAACGATAGAGGATATCTGGATGCTGTGTAGACATAGGTCATCGGTAGAGATGGGACCATGATCAGAGGACAGGCTGAAGCACTAGCAAGGTGAAAGGCGGGTGGTGCCTGGGGCAGAACAGGCACAGGGGAGGTAGTAAGAGGAGACTGGATTCTGGATATGTATTTGAAGGTGCAGTCAATAGAATTTATTTATGAGCCTTAGCATTTGACCTCTGCTTTTTAAAATTAGGTATCTATGGCCCTTTCTCTTAATATGTAATTTAAGATCACAGAAGATTATCATCCTTATTCTGTTTATCTTTTCTATTCTCATAATTCTGAACAGAGGGGCTGGTTTCTTATAAAGAATCTCATCTGAGCACTTTTTTTTTTTTTAAAGAAAAAAAGATCCAGTCCCTCTTCTTTTGAACTTTTCCGTCTCTAAAAACTGACTGAATTATATTCTCTTACTCACCAGTTTCTTATTTCTTTATCAAAGAATTAATTAGCTTTTTTTTCTGATTATGAGAATATTCAATATCATTGTAAAAAAAATCAAGAAAGGATGCAATTTTTTTCATCTCTGCCACAGAGTGTCCTATTCTTAGTTTAGTTTCTTTGAGGACAAATGAGTCAATCGAGCCCATGGATTCCAGTTTTCTCACCTGAAAATGGGCATATTTAATAGAACCTCCTTCAGAGGTGCTTGTAGAGTTAGTGAGACCACAACGGAAAGCACATGACACTTGGCACATTGACAAGCCCTAAATAATCCTGAGCTGCAAGTACCATCTTTTGTAAACTGCCTTTCAGGTCCTTGGCACAGTTTTCTTCTGTGGTGTTTTGCCTTTTTCTTCTTGATTTACAAGAGGTGTTTATAGGAGTCAGTGGGGGAGATACCAATGACTTCCCTTTGTAGCAGATATTTCCCCCAGTTTGCTGTGTCTTTCAGCTTTATGGTATTATAGTTTTGCTGTAAGGTTATAGTGAGCGCATGCCTGTAAAAGTCTGTCCTTCCCAGGATTAGGGAGAAAGCTTTCTCTTGTTGTCCTTGTAATTTCTATGATTTTATATTAAAGATCATATGTTTGGTCCTTCTATAACTTATTTCTCCATAAAGTGTGCTATAGAGCTATAGCTTAATAATTTTTCCACACGTTGGTTCCTTTGTCCCAGTCCCATTATTGAGCTGCTTCATTTCTCTGTGATTTAAAATGCCATATTAACATATGCTAAATTTATTTACTTTGTTACTTTGTTTTTTCCACTAATGCCTCTCAATTCCTACATCAGTGGCATGATGTTTTAATCATCATAAATATTATACATGAACATTTTATTTATGCCTGTGTCATAGCTTTCTCAGTAGAATATGACATTAATTTCACTTTACCCAAGTGACTATATACTTTTTTCTGTTTAAAAAGAAATGCATATTAATTGCAAAAAATAATTCAAAATTTACAGAAAAGCACAAAAGAATCACTGACAATAATGCTACTGAAATGACACCACTGCCAGTTCTTTGACATTTTTCTCTGGGAATATACCCAGAAGGATACACATTCTTTTCTTTTTTTAATTCCATATTATACATGGATGCCCTTTTTAAAAAAATCAAATTGACTTTTGTAATTAGCCCAAAAGCATTTTTTATAAAATCTTGGCCAAAAATCTCATGATAATTTGTATTGTTTACTGAGTCACTGATACTTGTCTGTAATTAATGGTTTTTAGGTTATCATAACTCTTTAAGTTTCATTTCCTTGTTCATATTTATTCTAAATTAGAGAAATTGTCACATTTCTGTTAATTTAATTTTAATCTGAGTCAGATACATTTTCCCCTATTTTCTTTCCCTCTCAATTCCCTCTCTATAATACGTGATGCCATGACTGGTCGTCGCAGAAATTCATTTAAGTTGTTTATTTAAATTGGTCTAGCATTTTGCTCTCACCAAAAATGCTAACAGAATTATGGCCATCATCAGGTGGGTGGAATAACTAACCCAGAAAATGTCTTCTGTTTCTACAAACTGGTGCCCAGTCACCTGCCATATTGAACAGCAGTCTGAACTGGAAGTGGTCCGCAGAGGGCAGTGCAAAGACCAAAGAAATGTCTAGCCTTTTCTAAAGTATTGACTTTAAAGTAGCCTAGGAAAAAAAATAAAACATAAGCCTAGAACAATAAATCGGGCATATGATCAAAGTCTGTAGAATCAGTAAGGTTTAGGGTAAACAGAAGGGAGACAATGTAATTAAGTTATGAAGTTCAAGAGAGAGCTGGGTAGAAATGTGAAGCCAATCATAGAAGCATTAAGACAGTGTGGAAGCAGTCCTTTTGTATTTCTAGGTCTCCTTTTTAAGATAAGTAGGTTAGAGTAGTCACCTTATCAAAAGTGATATTTTGTAAGTACTATTAAAATAATACACCCTACATTTAATTTGAGCCTGAATTTTTGTTAATTATTGACTTATTGTGGGTCCACTCGCTTTGTTTTGATGACAGGAGCAGTACATCCTCCAGTTCTAGAGGGAACGGGACCCATAGCAAACCGGAGGGTCAGGAGGAGTCCCTGGTCCCACAGAGCTCGGAGCCACCTCCAGCAGGAGATAGCGAGAGAGGTGAGCTGTGACTGCTTTGTCATCACAACCCCCAGTGATGGATGTCCACCCATTTTTCTGATCCCTCAGTGGTACCCTTTGGTTTCTTGTTTTTAATGAATTACTTTTTCCTCTAGTCTAGCTATTCCTGTTGATAAATAGGTAACAGGTTCACCAGGAAGGACATTTGAAAGATAGAGAATGAACTGTAAAAAATATAATTCACAAGTCTTTCTTTGAAGTCACATAAAGGAGTCTCTATGAAGTCACATAATGTCAGCATTTCAGATGGGGCATCACAGTGCAGCCCAGTTTCCCTCTGTGGACAAATGACCAGGAGACATGGTTACTGTTCTGACAGTGTGTGCACTGTCAATGTCAGTTTGGATCACCTGTTGTTTTATACCAAGCAGTGGAATTCAGAGTATCTGTCTTGATTTTTTTCAGTGTATATGTGGTTTATGGAGGAAAAAAAAGAAGGAATATGATCTAAATGAGTTATGAGTGAATCTTGTTTCATACAAGAAGTGCCATTTAGGGACTTTTTCAGAATCCTTTCCTAGAATATTTTTATGTAACACTTGAGGTCCGGTGCATCGAATTTGTGCACAGGTGGGGTGCCTCAGGATGACCTGCGGAGATTGGGCCCCAGCTGGCACCTTTACCCTTCCAGCCCCAGCTTGCACCCGCAGACCCACAGCCTCGCCTGGCACCCTGCCTTGGCCTGCCACCTCCCCCTCACCTGCTCCACCTTCCTTCCTGCGGGACAATCATTCAGGGCCGGGCCCCCCACCATCGCCACTGGTTGTAATCTGTGGGGCGATTGGGCCCCCGCTCACACCCGCCTTGACCTGGTGCCACCCGATCACATGCTCCACCATCCTGCTGCGGTCCTGCTCTCCGTCGGGGCCCATCAGGGCTGGCAGCGCCTCCACTGTTGCCCGCTTCCAGCCCCGCATTGACAGCGCCTACCATGTTTGGTGCCACCCCTTGGTAGTCAGCGCACGTCATAGCAAGCGGTTGAACTCACAAATGACTGTAGAGGGGACAATTTGCAGGATTATATGAAAGTTAGAGTCTAGCAAAGAGCTTTAAACAGTTGATTATCAATAATTATTTGATGAATGAAGGAATAAATTAATTCTGTTTCTTAAGAAGTGAACAGATGCTTTAGTGTAACAATTTACAAGAATTAAATATGTGTAAGACAACTGTCCAGTTAGGTAAGCAGCTATCCAGTTAGGAATAAAAAATGGATCCTTCGTGGGTCTTGGAGTTAAATCCCAGAATTAAGTATTTTCAATGGACAAAGCAGAATTTAAAGTAGGCTCAGCTGTACTATTGGTTCATGATAGTTCAGGTTATGCCAAATGTTTGAGGGGCTTAACAATACTCTGTATTAAGTTTGGCTTTTGTGACGATTAGAAACAAGCAAGATAAGGTCATCTTGGCTGTGAGGATCATTGTCACCAGATGTTCTCACATAGAGTTAGTTCCCAAAGGTTGGTGCCTCTGGAAGGGGCTGAGGACACAGCTGGGCACCCTCCTTGAGGGTGTCGTATTTGTGCACATCTGTGTTTGTGTCATACTGAGGGGAGGCTCATCTGAGAATCTAGTTTCCATGGCCTCCAAAGGGTTAAGAACTACTTATATATAAGAGGGCTGGAGTATTAAGTTGGTGGTTATTTTCCTACAAATGGTTTGGGCCCTGGCCAGTTATGTTCAGTGGTTAGAGCATAAGCCTACACACAAAATGGTCATGGGTTTGATTCCCAGTCACGGGCACATATCTTGGTTGCAGGTTTGATCCCCAGCTGCAGTCAGGGTGCATGTAGGAGGCAACCAATCGATGTGTCTCTCTCACATCAGTGTCTTTCTCCCTCCCTCCCTCCTTTCTCCCTTCCACTCTCCCTCTGAAAATCAATGAAAAAATATCCTCAAGTGAGGATTAAAACAAAAAATAATGTGGATTTAATGATCATTTGGTTTATTTCCCAGAAGCTCCTGAAGAAGCCTCAGAGAGTGTGAACACATCCCAGGAAGGTGCATCTGCAGAAAGCACAGTTCAGAGCCAAGTAGACACAGGTGAGCTGTCTTCTCTCTAGTTGCTTAAGGTGTTAGTCTCCTAAAGTCAGAAGTAATTTCCAAATTGATGTGTTGTGGAATTTTCCCCTCCGTTTAGGGAATATTTTAGTTTATATTAGAAAGTAACTATAACTAAAGGCCTGGTGCACAGATTCATGCACCAGTGGGGTCTCTCAGCGTGGCCTGCGGGGATCAGGCTGAAACTGGCAGTTCAGTATCCCCCAAGGGATGTGACAGTGCGTGAAGCGGCAGCTGGCTGGGGAGGAGCGCGAGCCCGGGCCAGGCGCCATGCTGCTCCCGCTCATCCCAGCCCCACTGCGCCTGCCACTGCGCCGCTCAGGAGACTTGTTCCGCTCCGCTGCGGTCTCCACACGCCTGTCCTAGGGCAATGCTGGCATGCCTGTGACTGAGAAGCGGCCACAGGCTTGCACCCAGGCATTCCCAATGCCAGTCTCGATCCTGGTCCTGATCCGGAAGGGGAAGGGGCGCACACAGGGAGTGTCCACTGGAGAGGCTTGCGCCACTGCAGCTACTTGCCAACTGTGAGCCCGGCGTCTGGCGCCCATCGGTCAGCTGAGTGGCACTCCCACTGGGGAGCACACTGACCACCAGGGGCAGCTTTTGCATTGATCATCTGCCCCCTTGTGGTCAGTACCATCATAGTGAACAGTGGAACAGAACAGTCGCTTAGGATTTTATATATATAGATACTTTATATTGGAAAATGTCTGTGTCTACTTTGGAGTTAGATAAAATAGTCAAGGTTGCCGACATGACCATCTGTTACTACTTTACTTTCCAACAGCACAATCAGACAAGTTCTCATCTGAGCCGTCAGATTCCAGCTCAGGAGAAAGGAACGACTTCAATCCTGATAGTCCTTGTGGGGTTCCAGAAGACACCGCTTTGTCTGAGAAAGGCTGGGAACCAGGGACTTCGGATCAAACCAGTGCTGACAGCACTGCCCATCCCAGTAGCCCTGATGCTGAGCCTAAGACACAGACAGAAGCTGTGGGGCCCGTGCCTCCCGAGGAAACGTCAGCCACAGACTCTGCTCTCCAGGACACCGATGACAGTGACGATGACCCAGTCCTGATCCCAGGTGCCAGGTATCGAGCAGGACCTGGGGACAGGTTGGTAAATTTTTAATTGAAATGAACTGTAAAAAGTATAATTCACAAGTCTGTCTTTGAAGTCACATAAAAGAGTCTCCATTTTGGACAGTTGCTTTCTCTAAGGATGTCTTAGTCATGTGAACTTATGGAGCTTTTCAAACAAAGTCATTCACATGTACCTTCTCTAAGCAGAGTGTGCATGAAGAGGGAGCAGTCTCCACGTCTCTCTGACTCTGAGGCTGCTCCTCAGCTTGCAGACGGGAGGGAGGAACGCCCAGCAGCCTAGTGTGAAGGCGGTATATCTAGCCATCACTGCCTGGTGGACATCCTGTCCTTTAGCAGGGTTTTGGATACTTTTTACTCTTCAGTGTATCTGCTTTTCTGTAGACACTGATAAGGTAGTGTGATAGCAGTTCTTGTTTTGAGAACATTATTTTTCTCTGACTTATACTAAATTTTAGTAACTTAATTTAGAAACTGAAAAATTACACCAAATAACAAATATAACCATGATAAAGAATTGAATTGCTACCCAGTCAACATAGCTCAGTGGTTGAGCATTGACCTGTGAACCAGGAGGTCACAGTTTGATTCCTGGTCAGGGCAGGTGCCCATGTTTCGGGCTCTATCCCAAGTGTGGGGCATGCAGGAGGCAGCCGATCAATGATTGATGTTTCTATCTCTCCCTCTCCCTTCCTCTCTGAAATCAATCCTATATAATGAAAGCCTAATATGCTAAGTGTCCAGTTGTCTGGTTATTGATGCAACCAACCAAAGTGTAATATGCTAATGATATGCTAAGACCACTCAACCGCTCACTATGATGTGCACTGACCACGAGGGGGCAGACAGTCAACCAGTTGACCAGACGCTATGACATGCACTGACCGCCAGGGGGCAGATGCTCCAACTGGTAGGTCAGCTTGGAGCATCTGCCCTCTGGCGCGGCCGATCAGGACTGAGCAAGATGGGTTATACATGCCCTGGAGCCCTCCCACGGTACCTCCCACAGTCCCTCCCTGGCGCCCCTTCCCAGCCCTAATCATGCACCAGTGGGGTCCCTTGGCCTCACCTGCACCCTCTTACAATCCAGGACCCCTTGGGGGATGTTGGAAAGCCAGTTTTGGCCTGATCCCACAGGCCAGGCCAAGAAACTAGACTGTTGCACGAGTTCATGCACCAGGCCTCGAGTAAAAAATATATTAAAAAAAAAAAAAATTGAATTCCTAACATGGTCAGGTACTTTACTCTATATTTGTACTTGGAGATTAATCATACATCTCTACCTGCCCACATTAGTCTTCAGCGTTCTTACCATATGTTTTAGACAACTAACACTTTCCGTACCCAGAGGGAGTCCCACAAGGTTAGCAGGCATAGCACAGTTAGAAAATCACATTGATGGTTTCTAAAACCTAGGTGGAGAGTGAGAGTTGTGTTTAAGTCTGTATGTTTAAGGCCTCTTGAGGACACATGTCCTTGTTTTTTTCTGTACATAGATAACAAAAACAATACTAAGATCATAATGAAAAATAAAATTATCCACTTTTAAATAAAACATACTATATAACTTTCCAGATTTGTTTGCTTAAATAAGAAATTGTATTTTTTAATAGATACTAGACACTTGCAGAAAATCATAATTATTTAGCAGCTTCTGTCCGGGCTAATTACAACATATTTTTTTTACCAAGTGTGCTTTATACTTGAGGAATCTGAGGTACTAAGCATGGGTTTTCTATATTCTAGACCTAAGGTGCATTTTTTTAAAAAACAGAGTACTCTGTTTCCCCAAAAATAAGACAGTGTCTTATATTAATTTTTGCTCCCAAAGATGCGCTAGGTCTTATTTTCAGGGGATGTCTTATTTTTCCATGAAGAGGAATATGGTACACATTTATTGTTAAATGAAAATAAAGGAAATTTATTACCTGTATATGGTACGGTAGTACGGTAGTTGTCAACACAAACCAGACAAACTGTGAATCCTACAGTATCAAGAATTTACTCATTTATTCAATGACAATCATATCATCTTTTGGAACATCGTCATAACAATCCAATTCCTGAATTTCCTGGTGAATTTCTTGTGACTCCATTTCTTTCAGAATCAGTGGACCAAATCTCTCATGTTTTGCCTGGGGGGGGCCTTATTTTTGGGGGGATGCCTTATATTTCACTCAGAAGGAAACTTGTAAGTAGGTCTTATTTTCAGAGGATGTCTTATTTTCGAGGAAAACACAGTACTTTGTTTTATTCTGTAGGACATGGTAGAGTCACCGAAGGATAAAATCCTTACCCTTAGAGAAACTCATTTGAAGAACAGAGACAGCACACAAGACACTTAGAAAAAACATGGAAAACAGTTAATTAAACTTACAAAATTAAATACCGTGCTCTATAAAGATGTACATATGAATGTGATGCCAAACTGTTTATGACCACTGCTTCACAGTTTCATCAATTTTTCTTTGATATTTAGGAATTTTCTTTGAATTATTCTTTCCCAACTAATTACCAAAAATTTGTAAATGGTGAAAAACCTTCCATCTGACTTTCATCTAAGTAGTTTTTAAGGTTCCTAACTTTCATAGCACCATCTTAAGTCTTGAGTTACCTGTATAAAATTTACTATCTCTGCCCTTGTATGGGCTCTTCATCCTGAGACTGCTGCCATGTTCTGAATTCAGAGGAATAGCTATGTTGATTTTTATTCTAAAGTGAGAAAGTTTAAGACCCTTTGCTTCTTAGGAACATGAGAAAGAATCATTTACCAGCTTGTAAGTAGGCATATGATTTTTGAGAATTTATTTCTGAAGGGACAAAGGACCCAAAGCTCTATTGTAAAGAATTCAGTTCTTGAGGTCTCAGGATACATTTCACATGTGGATAGGATGCCCAATTAAAGTGTGCATGCCTTACAGAGAAGCTTAAGGTTAGTTTGGTTAGGGTAGAAAAATGGTCCAAAATTTAAAATGGTGCAAGTGTGTATTTAGGTCTGTACTTTAATTTCTATAAAGAATTACATAATAGAGCTCATAATTTCTTTTGTTCCAAATTACATTTTGTTTTGTTTTTAAATCCTCACCTGAGGATATACTTACTGATTTTTTAAATATATTTTTATTTTTATTTTTATTTTTTTGAGAGCCAGAAATACTGATGAGAGGGAAACATCGATCAGCTGCCTCCTGCACACTCCCTTACTGGGGATGTACCCGCAACCCAGGTACATGCCCTTGACCGGAATCGAACCTGGGACCCCTCAGTCCGCAGGCTGATGCTCTATCCACTGAGCCAAACCAGCCCAGCCAGGGCTTGTTTTTTTGTTTTGTTTTGTGTTTTTGTTTTTTGTGTGTGTGTGTGTTTTTTTTTTTTTTAAAGAACCGGGGGGTGGGGAGGAGAAGGGGGGGTGGGAATAAAGGATAGAGAAACAAACATTGATTGGTTGTCCCCCATACATGCCCTGACTGGGGATTGAACTCAAAACCTTTCACTTTATGAGATGATGCCCCAACCAACTGAGTAACACAGGCCAGAGCCCAAATTTCATTTTTAAAAATGAAACCTAGAAAGTTTATAGCCAAGCCATTTTGGACAAACATTTAATAAAAATATCAAAACAGTTCTTTGCAATGCAGAGTAATGATACCTTTTTAAAGATTTGTATTCTTAAATTTTTGTTAAATAAATACGACCTTGGTTTTTACTTTTGGGCTGAGATTAAGCATGAGAGGAAATGTCTCAGAAAATAAAGACCTTAACAACTAACATGGCTATTTTAAAATGGAATGCTCTTATTAACTACAGCTAGTTTCGGTGTAAACAGAACTGGAACCTATAGCAGAGGTCGACAGACTTTTCCCTCAAAGGCCAGAGCGTGAATCTCCTAGGTTTTGCTGGCCAAGAGGCAAAATGGAGGCTGCTATGTAGGTCCTTGTATAATCATTTAAAATGTCACCATTTACAAATACGAAAACACTTCTTAGCTGCAGGATTAGGTCCAAAAGCCAGAGTTTGCTGTTTCCCTTTGTAGCCAGTCACTCTGATAGAGAACCAGGCTAGAGTATATGGTAAAACACCATGACTGGCAGATCCCCAGAGTTTAGAACAATGAAAAGTATGACTCCCACATCTTAGGTCTTTGTGAACTTGGCCTGGGGCAGGAACATAGAAGAGTAAGTGAAACTAAAGTGAAGGAAGAAATAAAAGTGATATTGATAAAACAATACATAAAAATAGTATGTGTATCCCGTAGTGATTTTACGTGATTTAGAAGTAGACACACATGCCTGGGAGTGGGTGAATTGTTTTTATGGAGAGTGTTTCAAGGTGCCTAATTCATCTTAGAGGGCAGAGGCCTAGCTAGTAGCTGTTCCACCTGCAAAGTTCAGGAATTCTCTGCTCAGAACTGGGGGCATCTAAGTAAGCTTCCTGCGAATAGGTTGTGGTTACAGATTCCAAAATACAAGACATTGACCCTCAAAGCCTGTTAATGACTTTTTTATATATATATATATTTTATTGATTTCTTTACAGAGAGGAAGGGAGAGAGATAGAGAGCTAGAAACGTCGATGAGAGAGAAACATTGACCAGCTGCCTCTTGCACACCCCGTACTGGGGATGTGCCTGCAACCAACGTACATGCCCCTGACCAGAATCGAACCTTGGTCCCTTCAGTCCGCAGACCGACGCTCTACCACTAAGCCAAACCAGTTTTGGCCTGTTAATGACTATTAAAAAGTATTTATTTGCATAGAAATTTGGTTCTAACCAGTAACCTATTGGAAGCCAAAATTCTTCACATACTGTAAATTTGCCATCATCTATTTAGTCATCATATAATCACTTTCGGTATTTCTAATGATTCAAGTTTATTCTTTATTAACCTGTTAACCGAGCGGGACCTGTAAATACGTCAAACGTAAACAATATCGGGAACGGGTAGGACGTATGAATATGTCCTTGAAATATATGTTGCGCCCCGAGAGGGACGGTATATATTTTTTGTAATCTTTTTTTAAAAAATATTTTATTGATTTTTTACAGAGAGGAAGGAAAGGGGAGTTAGAAATATCAATGAGATGAGAGAGAAACATCAATTAGCTGCCTCTTGCACACCCCCCACTGGGGTTGTGCCGGCAACCAAGGTGCACGCCCTTGACCAGAATCGAACCTGGGACCTTTAGGTCCGAAGGCCGACGCTCTATCCACTGAGCCAAACCGGTTTCAGCTATTTTTTGTAATCTTTATCATTGTTTGTAAAATTTATAATTTTTTAATTCGATGTGTCCATTTTTTTTGTCGGTATTCTTTTCTATTTTTTTTAATTTTGTATTTTCCTTTGTGCTTTATATATAAATAAACGAAAAATATGTATTTCATTTATTTTAATTAAGTATAAATAAATAAAATAATAATATAAAATTATGTCCGCTGGGCGTGACGTGCTGACACGTCCTAGTGAAAGAGTACGCGCCCGTTGTACATTGCATAATTAAAAGGGGAACTCCCCGGTTAACAGGTTAAAGAAAATTGCAGAGAAAAAAGAATAATCATAGAGAAGAAACAGTGTTCCCAAGGCATTAAAAGCTATGTTATCCTTCACTCCCTTGTTATATAGACTTCTGGTTAGGACAGTGAGTCACCTCGGGGCTTAATTAGTTATTTCCCAAAGAGCAGCTCAGCCCTGAGGGGTCTCCCAGGTGCCCAGGGGATGGAATGGAAGATCTGAGTCCTGGCAGGTCCCTCCACTGGAACAGGGCTGGTTTCTAACCTGTTTAAAAGACAGAGAGAGGACTTAAGTGCAGGGTTTTCCTTCTAATCTGCCTTCAGTGAGTGTTTCTGCTTCCTTCATTTCCTCAACCATTCATTCAACTATTTAGTTGAATGACATTCTCACATAATACCCTAAATCACAAAGAGCAGCAAAGGTTTTTTAAGGTTGAGATGTTTGGATGAAATGGTGACCTTGATGCTTTACATATCTGGTTCTCTGAGGTCTGTGAGTGACTTTATTGTGTTCCCTTCACTAGATTTATTATCAGAGGAACAACAATAGGTGATAGAATAATGAGGTAATTCAGTATGTTCCTTCATTCTTTTTTTTTCTTTTTTTACGATGAATTTGCCAGGTCGTCCTTTCCACAGCTAACCACCTTTCCTATTAACAGTTAATACTTCTGGAACGTACTGAACTCTTCAGGGCTAAGATTTGTAAAGCAGGTTGCTTTTCACGAACTGTCGTAGCTGCATGACTGCATGGGGACAGAATGAAGGAAAGGTCCCTGTGTGCACACCTAACAGATGCTCACGTCTAGTGTGTCGTATGCCAAAGCAACTACAACTGAAATGACGTACTCTAATGTTGGTAACTTGCTTTGACTACGTTATTGAGAAATGCAATGTAGGGTATTTTTTTTTTTCATTGTAGGGTATTTTTATAGCTGTTTGGGTTAACAATTAGCAACTTTTCGTCATTATCTCATTTTTTTGAGATCATTAAAAATGGACTTGAATCTACTTCTGTGCATAAAGATTCTGATTTTTTTAAAAGAAAGCTGCATTCTTACAAATACCTTAATAACGTAATAAGGCAACACATCAAGGCAATACACAACTCTCACACACTTCTGCAACCTGAAGACTAACACGGGGTACATTTTAAAATCTGACATTAAACCATTATTTATCCACCCAAAACCTGGTATACTGACTAAATGAACCTGGTACCTTATTCTGGTGGCACATGCCTATTATTTACCATTTGTTCCTGAAACAAAGTGGAATATGACACAATATATAGCAACAATCAGGAATACAACATTGGTAGAGTTCCCCATGGGGAATACAAAAGAAGCCAAAAACTAAGAAATCCCCTGTTATGTCTCATATTGTTTTTGCTTTTATGCTGGTGTTTCTAGGCTGTTTTCACATTAAGGTATGTTTGAAGTAACTTTTAGCAAATTGGTCTGTTGCCAATTGTCACTTTCCAGTTAAATAACAATAAAATGGAATTTGTTTCAGGGCTTTTTTGAATTTCTGGTTTATACTTTTTATCCTAAGTACTCAAAGCCAGTTTCTGCTCTTATAATGAAGATTGCAACTAAAAAATATCATGTTGCAGTAAAGGAGTCACATTTAACCATTGAAGTGGAGATAATTATGAACTGATAAACCGTGATAAGCAGAAATGTGACCCTTACCTCCCTCAGAGGGAATGAGATTAGACTCCTGCTCTGCCTCAGTTGCTTCTTTCTTCCAGAGAGAGGGTCTGGAAAATTTCTAAGGAAAGGCAGTCTCTTCCTGCCCTTGTCCTCATTCCTATTTTTGTCTCCCACTCATTTTCTGCCTTTTGTGATTTTAACTCAGCATTTTATAGGCATCCCATTTTCTTACCTTTCTTAGCATATCAATTATACTTTTATTTTATTCTTTTAGTGGTTGCCCAAGAGTTTACTTCTGAAATTTTCCATACATATTAATAATGTCTTATGAATTTTAAATCATACACCAAGTTAGTATAATGAATCATAAAAAGAAATGGTAACTAATATTCTCAAAAACAGCTTTGCAAACAGTAGGCTTTTAAGGAATATTTGTTTGCTGCTTGGTGTTCTTCATATGTATGTATATGTGTTCAATGGAAATTTTACAATAAAAGAGTGCACTCTCCTTTTACCTAGAGAACCGCTTTCAACTCCCAGCAACAATGCCTGTTTTCCTGCATTCTTGCCACTCGCTGACAGATAGTTTTGTTCATCTAATAGAGAGATCAGATTGTTTTATCATTATCTCATTATTAGTAAGGCTGAGCATCTTCTCACATATTTACTAACCATTCGTTTCTTCTGTAATTTTTCTACTCATGTACTTGGCCTATTTTTCTGTTACCATGTTCATTTTTCTTACTGACTTAATAGACTTTTTATATATTTTAGATTTTTGGTCTATTACATGTTGAAACACAATGTTTTAAATAACATATTCAGACTAAGAAACTTATTAAGTAGTATCATGTGTTAGGACAAGTTTCTTTCAATAAGTAAATCAGTCTTCAGTCTCCAGCTCTGTCATCAGCTGAGCTCTTAGGAGAGTAAAGTCTGCCTCACTTTCCCCAAATCTGTATTTCACTGTGGAGTCCATATAGCTTAGATGCTTTGGGAAGGTCTTTTTTTATTGCACCTATGTTAATATTTATTCTCTTTTCTCTTGACTCATCTGTTCTTTGCTGGGAACATCTTTAAACAAAACCTCAAAACATACGTTTATCTATTGCTATTACATGTTACCCTTAATTTCTTTTGGTTTTTATTTATGCCTTTACATTTCCTAAAGTAGAGAGGAAAAATGGCATGGACTATAGGACTTGTTTTATTTGTGGAAAACTGCACATGAATTTGTCTGTATTACATTTTTATAATATAGCCCTTTGAACCCCAGTGTACCGCATGCTATTCCCCTTACTGTCCTAGCCAGGACAGAATCTCTAAGTGACCTATTCACTAAAACATCTTGTTCTAGTAACTCAACTAGTCTTGTGGAGTCCCACTGTCATGTTTGCCTTTTGATGCTTTCCGTGGGGTGCCTTACTGAGATAATATGTAGTCTACATATTTTCTGACTTACTGACTTAAATGTGCATCATTGATTCCACAGGAGCCTGTAAGTGTTTTTCACTTACTTATGTTCTTTTCTTTTCATATGTAACTCATAGACGTTCTGCTGTTGCCCGAATTCAGGAGTTTTTCAGGCGGAGGAAAGAAAGGAAGGAAATGGAAGAACTGGACACTCTGAACATTAGAAGGCCACTAGTGAAGATGGTTTATAAGGGCCATCGCAACTCCAGGACAATGGTACCAAATGCTCGTGGCATTCTTTACAGAATGTGCGCTTTCATAGCATGACTGTTTTTGCATAACAATTATCCTCCTGTATTGTCAGTGTGGCTCCAGCATAGCTGGCACCTTCATGGTTATCTCTTCTAGTCCTGTGATTTATCAGGAGAGACCAATAGTTTTTTTAAGGAAACTTTACCCAGGAATTATTGTAGAGTTTAAATTTTTAGCTTGTACAAGTAACCAGTGCTGCTTCTTTGCGCTCTCACACTTGCTGTGTACTTTTCTAGCAGATTGTTTTGGAGAGAAGGGTTTGGCTATATGAAATCAGATTTATTGAGAAATATAGTCAGGTTGCTTTCATCATCGCCCCGTTAAGATGACAAGTCAAAGTTGGTTTTAGTCACTTTGCTCCCTGAACTTCAAGTTCCTCATCTGTGAACTGAACAGAATAGATCTGATGATCTCTAAGGTCTTTTCCAGTTTTTATAGTCCCCACATCTGTGCACCCAGTGCTACATCCGTCACCTACTAAGGGGATATTGGGAGGTGGCTAGTGTGTCATAACTGTGATTCTGAACCATTTCTGTCTAGAAAGTGCTGTCCTCACATTCATTGAGTTCTCAAATGTATCTATAGAATCGGTTTTAAACTGCTTTCTTACTTTAGGGAAATAATAAGCTCTCTATAGAAATCAGTGGTAGTAACAATTTAATCATTCAAAAAATAATACTGTTATTAATAGAAGTAACCAATTTACATTTCTTGCATTTTGCTGGTTAAAATTTTAGAGGAAAATAATTAGGGGCTGGAGTAAGAAAAAAAAAATAATCAAGCAAAATAACAGCTTCAAGTAAGAACAGAATGGGTTCTCCTCTTTTACTCTCCCAAAAATAGCAGTGACAGCTGCAGATAAAATAACTGGAGAATCCAATCTGAAGCACAAAGATTTTGATGGTTTATTAGTATGCAGCCATTGAAAAAAATGTCATCATAACTACTCCAACTGTCTATTCCTTTGTCTCATTGCTTCATGAAAGTACACGTGTTTATATCTTTTCTTCTTAATTATGAGAACTTCAAAGAACTAAGAAAAAGATTGGTACTTTTTGTTATACTGTCGAAAATCCAGAAATTTCATTCATTCATTTAGCAGTTAATTTATTCAGCACCTATTGTGTGCTAAGAGCCGTTGCAGGCACGATAAACACAGTATTGAAAAAAAACACATCCCTGTCCTCGTGGGGGAGTCGTCATTACTGAAGGCCGGGTTCTCTTTGCTGGCAAATCTACCAGGATTTGTAGATACTAAAAGACCAGGATGCTCTTCAATTTGTGTTTTGTTTTCTACGCCAATTAACTTTTTTAACACGAGAATAGAATAAGTCTTTATTTTAATAACTGTGATTTGAATTTCCTCATAACTTTCTTTTCTTAAACCTTAGATAAAAGAAGCCAATTTCTGGGGTGCTAACTTTGTGATGAGTGGTTCTGACTGTGGCCATATATTCATCTGGGACCGTCACACCGCTGAGCACTTAATGCTTCTGGAGGCCGACAATCACGTGGTGAACTGCCTGCAGCCTCATCCATTTGACCCAAGTAAGGTGGCTGTGCATCAGGCAAAGCTAGAAATCGTGTGGCTCATCAGCCCAGCCGTGTTCCAGTTCACATACAGAAATCTCAACTGTCTGTAGCAGCCACAGGAGTCACTTCATCTCTGCTTGGGTTTAAAACCGAAGCACACTTATAACCTGCTTTGAGCAGAAAGTATGGTGAAGTAGGTTAAAGAGTGTTCTAATATTTCTTCTAACTGTATTAGCCATAAGAGGTTTGGCTGATTGAACTTTCTCACTACTTATCCAAATGGAATCTGCAAGGCTCACTGATGTGCTCTTGCCTTCCTTGGAAATTGCCCATAGTCTTGAATTGATACTCTAGAGTGGCTTTTAGGAAATTTTCAAAATAATATTCTCAGTTAACACATGCATCAATACATTTCCACTGCAGCTCACCTTTGCTGTGATGTACACACAGGAAGTCCTCACTGAACGTCATAGATAGGATATGCAACTTTAAGTGAAACAACATGGAACAAAACCGATTCTATCCTAAGCTAATGGTTATAAACAAGGTTAAGTTCCTTCAGCATCTCATCAGTGGCACAGTGAAAAGACGTCAAACAGAACGACTGTGTTCAAGGCCCTGATGTATATGTACATATGCCTGCGTCTATACCCTACAAACACATTGTATACATACACACACACACACACACACGTGTCTGTGTACATAGCTTGAATAAATGCATGTGTTCTGAGTTTATGTTAACTGTACTTTTTGTTTCTAGTTCTAGCCTCGTCTGGCATAGATTATGACATCAAGATCTGGTCACCACTGGAGGAGTCAAGGATTTTTAACCGAAAACTTGCTGATGAAGTAAGATGTTTATTGCACTTATTAGACCATAGCTTACCTTGTTCCTGAAATGCTTTCTTAAGAAATATCAAAGCAGCTCTTCCCTTAATTGGTAACATAAAACAATTTCATGCAGGTAAGGAAGTCAGTTTTAAGAAAAAGAAAAATGAAGATAAAACCATGCTTAGAGGTAAAAATTGAACTACTATTTTGCTAATTAGAAGACTGAGTATTAGTAATAGCAGATTAAGTGTTTTGTAGTTTAAGAAAAATAGGTTGATTGCCTACTGCATTAAAGAATCATTAAAAACACTGTCCTTTTGAGAAAACTCGTTTCACTGCAGCATCTTCATCATTATGGCCAAGAGGTAGCAGCACAAATGATGAGAATCTTTTCCTTTTTCTATTTTAAGATTTCCTCAGCTTCTTGTTAAATCAGTAGTTTTCTAACTGAATTCAGTGAAGGGCTAGGTTGTTTATGAAATTAGGATAAGAAAGCTGATTTCTAAGCTTCAACCAGGGTTTTCATTTGTTGATTTCCTATAATAATTAGGGTCCATTGCATTAATCAGCTACTCATTGCTGAACTCCTATGGGTAGATGAGGGCTCAAATAGGTAAATAAGGATCTGTCACTTAAAAATGTTAATAAATGGGTCAAGCAGCACTCAGGGTGAGGTTGACAGCTCAGCACAGTTCCCTTGGGTGCTTTTCCTCATTGAATAGACACACAGCAGTGTCAGCCCTGCGCTCAGAGCGCATGGTAAGAGGAACAGACAGACAGCACAGTATGGTGCAGTCAGTGTCTGAGGTGTATGCCAGCGTTTGGAAGCCTTAGAGAAGTAAAACTGCTTGTGAATGGAGTTGATGGGGTGGGGACATCCTCACGGAGGCTGTAAAAGTCGCTAGGACTGCGTTCACCAGGCAGACAGGAGCACGGGAGCACTGGAGACACGGGACCAGCAGGTTCCATGTTGTTAGAAGGTAAAGGAAACATCTGTGTGCAGAACCTACAGTGCGAGGGAAAGCTGCTCAGTCAGACTGGAAAGCTCATTTAGGACCGTAAAGGGCCCTGAGGGACCCAGGAGCTGAGAGAGTTGTCATTTCACTGGGGACTGTTGGCCAGATGGCATCTTTCTCCTACTCTCAGTCTTCCCTCTCTTCCTTCCCACACTCTGCTTTTCCTCTTCCTTCTTTCCTCTGCCCATCGTATGCATTGGGTTCCTCGGAGCCACTGGTTCCTTCCTTGGTGCTTCGGACACAGCTCTTGGTAGCTCTTGTCCAAAGGTTTGTTTTACAAGGTTACTTCGCATCAGCGAAGGTAACAATTCTCAAAGGAGCCACGTGAGCCAGGGACAATAATTTAACACTACTTTGTCCCAAAGGTACCTGTTCTCCTCTGCACAGTGTAGACTGCTCTGGGGAACAAGTAAAGATAAATTGAATTCTTGGATGTTTTAGCAACTAGAGTTGACCTTTGTCTTCCTGCCAATCACATGAGGGATGTTCTCTCATCTTACTCCTCACACTCAAGTCAAAGTAACTGGTTGGCCTTGAGAAGCCTTAACAGGGATACGTGACAACAGGCACCTGGGGAAGGCAGGCCGCTCTTTTTCCTACCATTCTCCTAACCTCCAGGGGCGGGGCGGGCACTCTGTGTCTCTGACCGTCGTTTCATTGCCCAGGTGATCACTCGGAATGAGCTCATGCTGGAGGAGACCAGGAACACCATCACAGTGCCCGCCTCCTTCATGCTCCGCATGCTGGCCTCCCTGAACCACATCCGGGCCGGTAAGAACAGCCAGCCTCTATTCCAGTTAGGACTATGTCTCAACAGCATGGTGTTATTTAACATTTATCTGTAACTTCCTATGTCACACAATGGAGGCAGCTCATTAGCACAGTAACTCATGTGATGAACCTCACTTACTGGAAAGCATCACAATGAAAGACAGTCCCCGCTGCTTCTCTGAGTGGAGGCTCCTACACAGGCCTTGTCATAAATGCCTTCAGCGGTCCATTCGCTCCAGGTTGGCAGAGCCCAGACGAAAGAAAGGTAGCATGCTAGGGAGGCTGAACAGGCACCTCTCTGTTTTCTTCATCTTTGTTTTGTCCTAAGTGATAAACTGAGGCTCAGTGGATAACACAAAATGTGTATATTATAACTACTATTCAGGAAGGAATTCAAAAGCTATGCTCATAACTAGAAAAAGTTCCAGTATCTATTATTATCAAGAGTATGTTCACTGATCTCATGAATAAAATGTCTCCCTGTGCTGAGCATCACCTGTCAGTTCAAGACAACAGTGACCACCCTCATTGAGCTCCAGCCTTCTCAACGGGCTTTCTGTAATGACTTACCCAGGCCACACCACTGACACATGGTAAAGCTATCTGTAGTGTTTTTAAAAATGTTTGTTTAGAATGACATCCATTTTCAAAGTTAATAGTATTGTTTCCTTTATTTTTTAAAATTTCCCTGTAGAGGCAAAAATTTAGTATGTACACACAGTGGTGAATTGAATTTTACATAGTGGTGTGTTGAGTTCTATACATTTTAAGCAGCTTTAAATAAAAGGCATTGAAGATTATCTTAATCATAACCCTAAAAGTATTTCTTTTAACGAATCTCATATCTGTTTTCCAGACCGGTTGGAGGGTGACCGATCAGAAGGCTCCGGTCAGGAGAATGAAAACGAGGATGAGGAATAAGCAACTCTGAGTGGCCAGCACTTAGGATGTTTTGATATTTGTATAACACACTTATATTTTTTTCTTTACAGAGCTTCAGTGCAATTTTAAGGTTATGGTTTTTGGAATTTTCCCTTTTCGGGGGGATAACCTGACATTGGTGTGGAGTGATTGTGTGCATGAACTTGAGAGAGTGTGAAATAAAATTAGCAGAATGTTTTAAAACCTAGTTGCCATGTATGAGGAGTGCTAGCAACGAAAGTGCAATACTGCCAGCCTCCGCACGGGGGATCTTGGATCAACGTTGAAGAGCAGTTCTCATGGTAGAGACAATGTTGGTTCAAATAAATTTCTACACTTGCCATTTGCATGTTTGTTGCTTTCTAATTAAAGAAGCTGGTTGTTGTAAGATCTCCTGAACTTGACATTGTTTTAATGCCTGTTACCCTGGCCTGTGTTTTCCAGTCTTTCCTATCACATAGGTCTGTTTCTCTAGTTAGAACCATCTTTTCGGTTTTGACTTGTGACTGAATCACATAGAAGAGAATTACTCATGTCTCATTCCAAAGTGCTTCATCTTCACCACCAATTGTCATCTTAATGATCGGTGAGACTGCGTTACCCACAGACAGGAGTCAGGGCCAGCAGAGGCCAGAAAATCTGGGGTTCACATGCTACAGGAGCATAGGCTAGTTATGGGGGCCCTGGCTTCCAGTTCTCCTGACTTCAGGTAGATTCCAGCTGAGAGCTGTGACCACCCTGTCTCTACATCCTGGCCTGCCTTAGCTCCAGTGACCACCTCCACTCCAGCCATCAGTACCCTGCCCTGTACCTTATAGGTTATGACCTGAATCTGTTCCTGCAGACTTAACCCTTCAGTCACCCTCCCTTCCCACTTTTAAATTGTCATCCTTTTCTCCGGCTGGGCCACGAGGCTCATATGTGTAGCCAAGCAGAGCACCCCTCTCCGGTGTCGAGACCGGGGTCGCTTCTCCCCAGGTGTGCAGCTACTGGCTTTATGGAGAGGAAAATGCAGGCTGGCTTTATGGAGAGGAAAAGCCCCTTCGGTGGCTCAGTCACTGGAGCCGGACTACCACCCCTGGCCCTTGCCCTGCATGCACAGGTGTCTCCGCATTCGAGAACCAGGTAAGTGGGTGAAGAGAAGGAATTAGGGTTTTAGTAAAACAGGGCAGCTGACTTGGCTACAGATAACTTCTGGAAAGTGCCAGGGTCTTAGTTCCTGGTTCCCAATTAGCTATGTGAGCTGCTGGGGCCACCTGACTTGTCTGGGCTCCTGCTCCGTCTCCCAGGGGCTGAGTTAGGGCCCCAGGACACCCAGAGGAGGAGGGACTGCAGAGTAACTGAAAACACTACTGTCAGCACGTCCGGGACACCATTCTCACTGAGTGAAGCAGTTGCAGGGATTCTTGAGTGCTGGAAAGCTGGCAGGACAGAGGCTACTGGAGGGCTCCGTGGGGTCAGGAGTAACTGGCAGGAAAAGCAACCGAAAATCAAAATGGTCTGGGTACCCTCCGGGCAGGATGGGGGGATGGGCAGAAGTATGTGGGACCTGACCTTTCTGCTCAATTTTGCTTGGAACCCAAAACTGCTGTAAAGCTGTTATTTTAAGTGATTTTTTTTATTGATTGTTAGAGAGGAAGGGAGAAGGATAGAGAAACATCAATGAGAGAGGAACATCATTGATTGGCTGCCTCGGGATTGAGCTCACAACTTTGGGCATGTGCCAATTGTGAGTCAAACCATGACCTCCTGGTTCATAGGTCAATAACCCCCGAGCAACACTGCTGGGCTATTATTTTTTTAATGGTATTTGTCAAAGGAATTACCGTGTTTCCCCGAAAATGACATCCTCCGAAAATAAGACCTAGCACATGGAAAGATAAGATATCCCCTGAAAATAAGACCTAGCGCAACTTCGGGAGCAAAAATTAATATAAGACACTGTCTTATTTTCAGGGAAACAGGGTAGTTTTCCTACTTTGGGTGATTGTGTAGAGTTTGGTGTGTTAAATAGGCACAGGGCAGACCAGACCACAGTCCAGGGGCAGAAAGAGGACATATTCCAGGGAGTTAGGTCTTGGCCATGGTGCAGTGCATGCTGGGGGCAGGTTAGGCAGCTGGAGCGGAGCTCACCCATGCACTCAGCCAAAGGAACTGCCTTCAATTGAAGCCCGTGAGGGCTCAGGTGGGGGTGCTGGCTTTTATGCCCTGAGGTGGTTTTGAGTCACTAATCACCACATCCCCTTGACCTTGGTTATGGGGTGAACGTGTGGAGAAACCCTATAAAATCTGGGATAGGAGTATTTGTTCTGTATTGACACTATTTCATGAATCTCACCATCTTGGGGTATTTTGAAAATGTATGGATGGATGTACCCAGGTGACTGTGGTGTGGATCACACACACACACACACACACACACACACACACACACACACACACACACACACACGCCAATTCTGCAGTAGCCCTTCCTGCTCAGTCTCCTTCCTCTTTTTAGCCCTTGGGAAGGAAGAAGGGAGAAAGGAAAGGGATTGTGGGAAACGGGGATATGGGGGGAAGGAGGAACACCCAAAACCCACAGTCCACAAGTCCAAGTACAAATTCACCATTTCCACATCTGTACATGTACCAAAAACATTTACTCAAGTAAACAAAGCTATTCTAAATACCCTCTTGTTTATAAATAGTGATTTATAATAACCCTAAACATTTTCTTGTTTTAAAAAAACAAAGTTTCAAGTGAAATGCATTTCAGGACTAGCTTGTTTTGTGTGAAGGTTGGTGTTTAACCCTGTTTGCATCCTGGGCTCCATCACCAGAACACAGGCCTCCCCTCCACAGACCCACGGCTGGGCTCCTGTGCTCCGCCATGGTCTCCTCCCACTGCCCTGGTGTGGCCCTGCCTGCCCAGGCCCGGGACTGTCCTTGCCCCTGGGAGGGGGTGACTTGCCTGGGATTGGTGACACTGCAAAACAGTGGTGTCAAAAGGAACAGCAAGTGGCCTCAAATTCCAAGCTATTGCTGCTGCTCAGGAAGGTGCTTCCTGGGGGAATGAACAGCTCTGTGATGTCCTAAGATAACGCTGAGCATCGTGGTGCCGTGCTGGTCTGCAGAGGAGAGGGTCTGTGCTTTGGATCTTTCCACGGAGTCTAAGCACACCTCCCGGGCCTGTGATTTCTGCGGGCCGGCAGGCGGGGGCTCCAGGCTCCAGGCACTCGGCCACCAGCTCTTCTACACAAGAAAACCCGCAGGCCTGCTTCTGGGAATGCCTTCACTGTCCCTCATCCCCGAGCTGCACAGCTGGCTCCTCCCCTCGGTCACGTGGCCAAGACCCGGTGCTGGGCCCTGACGCTGGTGTCCTGCACCTCGAGACCTTGGGCATTTCTTCACTTTCTAGGTTTCCCTGGATTCTGTCTGTCCCCAACCCAGGAGGAGTGTCCACTCTGCCTCCTCTTGTCAATATATGACTCTCAGCCATTTTCCTTTGCTTCAGGCGAAAACGGTGGTTTTCCTCCAGCTCCTCGTGGTTCCCCTTGGGGTTCTGCACACACTGGGCTGGTAGATGGGCTCCGGTCCCTGCACTGACCTCCTCGGGGAGGAGGATAGGAGAATCTGAACCCGAGAGCCACCGCCACGCACTCACTGTCCCGCGGGACTGACTGGCCGCAGGGGCAGTCAAGTCTGCAGGGCGTCTCTTCTGGGCTGGGAAGCTGAGCTGATGCACGACACGGGGTTGACACTGGGCCCGGCCATCACCTTGGACAGACACTGTGTGCCCCTCAGACCTCTGCGGCTCCCAACGCCACACCTTCCCCTCCTCTCCCTCCCCTTCCTCGCCACATCCCTTAATCCCACGTCCTCTTGTGCTGCTCAGCAAGCAGGACAGTTCCCACAGCGGAAGCCTCGACACCTCTGATCTAGAACAGCTCCTTAGAGGCCCTACGAGGCGAGAAGAGGACACCCACCTCGTTATGGACGAGACCCCCGTGGCCCGGCCCCACTGCATCCCAGGTGGGTGCCGGGAGCTTTAATCCACGTGGCCTCCGGGGGGGGGGGGGGCGAAGCCTGCATTCTACATCCCCACAGGAAACGTGATGAGAAAACCGACGAGAAAAATGAACTGGCCCGAGAACACCCAACTACCCAGCAGTCGCGTGGGTCTGAACCCAGAACTTAGCCCAGCCGTCTGCACTGCTCCCATGTGGACACGAACACGGACACGGAATGAGAGCCCTCAAGTGCCTAACACGGACACGGAACGAGAAGCCGCACAACAGGCACAGAGTTCTCACCGTCAGGCACACAGTAGGTGCTCAGCCCGGCCACCCTCCCAGTTCCTCCCAGACAGGACAGGGGCCAGAGCTGTACACCGGAGGTTCTCCTGGGCTCTGTCCGGACACACGCCTCACGTGCAGGTGTCTGAGTGAGTCCGGTGGGAACATATTCCTGCAGTGAAACCTAGCAGGCTACGACCTCTTGCTGGAGCAAGCTTCTTCCCCTCCTGCCCCCCTTTCCTGGCCGACTGAAAATACTGATTAGTCTCACTGGCCACTCAGGTGTAGCTCTTGGGATGACAGCACATTAGCACCATTGGCCCTGGTCTTAGTCCTCAGCCCAGCCTCATAGCAGTTGCTTAAGATCTTACAGCTGAGCAGGGGGTCACACGTGTGAGCAAGCTGGGTGGTCCTTCCAAGGCTGAGGACCAAGGTGGAGACAAGTTCAAAGCCAGAGCTCTGCTGAGGCATGCCTTCAGGTGTTTCCTTAGCGCTCCCCACTGCTGCCACCTCGTGGCTAAGGTGCTGAACTCCAGTCTTCCCAGGCAGGGAGCCCAGTGCCTCTGGGTCATAACAGCCCCAAGCCTGGAATCTGGGCAGGCACAGCACAGGGACCATCAAGTGGCGATCTTGATGAAAGAAGCAGAGATGGCGATAGCCCTAAACTCGGTCCTGTGAAAACCGAGGACAGAGGTGTGGACAAATGGCCAAAGTGCCACCTGCCACTGTCCATGTAGCCACTGCACAGAGTCTAAAGCTATGGCCTGGGTTCCAGCCCGCACTAAGGCAGGTGTCCTCAGAAATGCCTCTCGAGAGCTTCAGAATGTATGGGACTCCCCACTCCTCCCACCCACCTTTTCTACCTCCTACCTCCCTCCCCGCCCCCCTTCTCTTTCTCCCAGGCTTCATCGGCAATTTTGAATTCTCAGTTATGCAAAATATGGTTCCAGCTGCCAGACATCCTCCAAGGCTTGGCTCAACTGCCACCTCCACGGAGCTACATGGAAATAAGCACCTCCCTCTGGAGCCCACCGTTCTCTCTCTAATAATCACTTGACTTTGCTATTTATCAGCATCCGCCTCCCCCAGGTCTGTGCCCAAATGAGAGTGCAAACACGTCCATGCGACTGCTCACAGACCCAGCTCGGTGCTCTGCACAGGTGACGCGCAGGGCCTGGAAGATGAATAAACGAATGGTCCTCGGTAAAAGGAAAAGGAAACAGTGAATCGTTCTATGATGCGTGGCATTTCTAGATAAGTTTAGATTTAATCCTAGTAAATCCCAGCCAGTCTGCAACCAGCCAGTGCAGACTTGGGTCTTAGGACTCTCCCTAGAGCCCGGCCCAGGGGCGCGCACTCCAACCCTGGGCTCCCAGCCAAAGGTGCTGCACTCAGGCCTCACCAGCGAGCGCCCTCGGTCACCCCAAGGAAGTGGTGATGCTCCCTGCCAGTAATATGGTCCCTTTATAACCACAAGTGCTGGGAGGATGTGAGAGTAAAGCGCTGATTGAGGAATGCCATAGAGTGAGAGCAGCCTGACTTGCCCGTCTCCTTAGCCAAACCCGCAGGTGACGCCACCCTGCTCCTGCCCTCCCGCCCACAACCACCGCCCGCCGGCGGGGAGTCCTTATCCATAAGCTGATCACCATGGAGGTGCAAGCCCCCAGGCCTCGCGAAGGTCTCTGCCAGCTGCAGACTGAGGACCAGCCAACCACTGGTGTCCACACCGCAAACCCACTCCCCCTCCTCCGAGGAGGCATCTCTCCTCCACGCTGGCCCCGGGCAGGCGGCACTCTGAGCGGACGCGCCGGGGAGCCCCACCCCCGGGCCTCCGGTTCTGTCCGCAGTCACTCAGCTGTGCCAACATGGGCCCGTGGTCCCTTTTCCTTTCCTGTCTCTAACTCACGGAACATCAGAGGGCAGCTGGCACCGATCCCGGAGACGGTTCAGTCTGACAGCTCCCTCCCTCCCCGGCTGCAGAGTGCTGGGAAGTGGAGGGAGGTGAGGAAGAGGGGGAGCCTGGCTCAGGCCAGCGCTTTCTATTCTGCCTTATTTCCTGTCAATCACACTTCGCACTCGGTTTTCCTCCGTGAAGGGAGTTCCTCCAGCGACAAGTGTCTCCCCCTGCTGCTGGACTCCACGGCCGTCCAGGCATCTCCTAGCCCAGTGGTCGGCAAACTCATTTGTCCACAGGACCAAAGACCAACAGCACAACAACTGAAATTTCTTTTGAGAGCCAAATTTTTTAAACTTAAACTTCTTCTAACGCCACTTCTTCAACCTAGACTCGCCCAGGCTGTGGTATTTTGTGGAAGAGCCACACTCAAGGGGCCAAAGAGCCGCAATGTGGCTCGAGAGCCGCAGTTTGCCGACCACGACCCTAGCCAAACATTTTTTTTAATTCTTGGAAATGAAGCATCCGCCTGTCTGTCACAGTGGTTTCTCTCTCCCTTCTTTCGAAATAGCAAAGGATCAGCGAGGAGGGAGGGGGCCCGGGCTGCCTCGCGAGCCCAGCAGGTGGCTCCACCGAGGCCAAGTCATAACTAGCACTGAGGCCTGGGCACTGCGTGGGGCCCTGCTCCCGGACTCTCCTCTGGGGACCCCACACCGCCTGCTTCCACCCTGCAGAAGCCGGGGTGCCTCACCCCCGTGCACTGGGAGAGCCCCCTCCTGAGTCTCCCAGGGGACAGTGAGCAGCAATGTGAACAAAGAACATGAGCTGCCAGTGGTCCCCCAGCCTGGTGTCTGGGCCCCACCTGTGTCCCCTTCCCAGAAAGCCACAGCCACACCTCCATCTGCTTTTCTTTGTGCTTTTGATGCCTCTGTCCCAGCACGGCGGGTGGGCTGGCACAGACACAGAGCTCCTGGCGTGGACGCAGTTCTCGGTGTTGTTTTCTGGTGGCTGCACCCCAGAGGCCGTTCCTACCCCACTTCCCGGGGCTGTGGGCACCGCCGGGGCACGGGCCAGCCCGAGGCCCTCACTTCTGCTCCGCGGCTGGCACGCTCCCCTCCTCGATGCTCTGCAGCAGGAGCCTCTGGCTCCCGAGGGCTCGGCCGCCTCCGCTGGCCCCAAAGCCGGCCCCCGGGATGGTCCGCGCCACCATCAGGACCCCGGGCAATGCCTCCTTCCCAAACAGGTTGATTTTGGCTTCCGCCTCGATGGCTTTGGCCAGGCTGTCCGCGTAGCTGTCCAAAGATTTGTGCACGTCGGCTTTCACGTGGAGGATGGGGTTCCTGGCAGCTTCTGGGGGAAGACGGAAGAAGGTTACGAAGGGCCAGGCCCACGTGGAGGGCGCGGGGTCCCAAATCGGGGTCCCTCCTAGGTCCTGGGAAATGGCAGCCTAACCTCAGGGTCTCCTCTGCCGAGAGAGGGTCCCGGTGCACCTCTTACTCCACAGGGTTTCTGTGCTAAACCGTTCTTCCCGGAGGCGGGGCCGAGGCCCGGCTCACAGGAAAGGCTCGGTCACTATTTCCCGTTAACCACCTTCACAGTTTGCTTTGCAGGAGCTCTCTGGCTGCTGGCTGCCTGGGGTGTGTGGTGTCTGTGGCTCTAAACCTCCAGAGGCTGAGTGCTGAGCCAGGAGGGACGTCTCAGCTCTGAACTGGCTCAGGTTCCCCCACGTCAGGGCGGCCTCGGGGTCGGCAGGATACCTCGGTTTGGGCGCCAAGGGCTCGAAGGAGACCAGGGTTGGGAGTGGCACGGGGCGGGGGGGAGGAAGGGGAGAAGTGGGGGGCCCGGTGCGCTGGAGTGGGACGGGGATGAGCCAGGAACTTTCCTAAGACCATCCCCTCTCCCTGTGCTGTCCGGGCGGAAGCTGCAGGCGCAGAAACCAACCTTTCATCTGCTCCACTTCGTCCTCGAAGGTCACCGAGCTCCTCCTCTTGGGTGGGAACGCGGAGTGGGAGGGAGGCTGGTCCTCAGACGGGTAGTCTTCCAGCAGCATCACGTCCGTCCCTAAGGCCAATGGGGCAGGTTGCGCACCGGGAACCGGCCGTCCCCAGTCCTCCTCCGCCTCCTCCTGGCCCGACTGCTTTCAACCCCCTGGCATCCCTCTCCCCCGTTTATTCCAACCCACAGTGCTGTGCGAGAGCGGCTCTGCAGCTCACTTCTCAGGGCCCGAGAAGCGAGCACGGTGCCATCCTATCTCAGGGCGTCGGCAGCCAGCCACTGGGCCTCTTCCGACACGTGAGGTACAGCCGTGCCGGCAGCGCTGGGTGTCCTGGCCACAGCGCGCACACTCAGTGTCCGGTGGCCGGACCTGGGCTCGGGGAGGGGAGAAGTGGGAGAGACGGCCCCGGTAAGGGAGCTTTGTGTTCTGAGTGATTCCTCTTACCGTTTGAATTTCTATCCGTCATTACTTTAAATGCAAATGGATTGTACAATCTACAAGAATAAACTCAAAATGGATTAACAGCTTAAATGTAAGGCCTGAAACCATAAAACTAGAAGAAAAATAGGCAGTAAACTTTGTGGTTAAAATACATCGCACTAAGTAAATATTTAAAAAATACGTTTTAGTTTTTCAATTACAATTTACATTCAACGTTATATTAGTTTTAGGGGTTAGGGCACAGTCGGCACACATTTACATAACTTCCAATAAGTCTTGCACTTTCCTGTCCCCACACACAGTTACTGCACACAATGTTTCTGAGTACTAGAGGCCCGGTGCAAGACATTTGTGCACTGGGGGGGGGGGGGTCTCTTAGCCTGGCCTGCGCCCTCTCGCAGTCTGGGATCCCCCTGGGGATGTCCAACTGCCAGCTTCAGCCTGCTCTAAGCTGGCAGTCAGACAAGGCGGGAGAGGATCTTACAAGGACTGAGCATGGCACTCACTCTGTAGGAGTGCACTGACCACCACGGTCAGCCCCTGCATTGAGCGTTTGCCCCCTGGTGGTCAGTGCGCATCATAGGACCAGTCATTCCGCTGTTGGATCGATTGCATGTTAGGCTTTTATTATATAGAATGTCCTCTTGTTGCACATCACAGCTCCCACTACTGCTATGACTGCCGATTTGTACTTCTTAATCTCCCCACCTTTTTCAGCCAGTCCAACCCCCCTCCCATCTAGAAACCACCAGTTTGTCCTCTGCCCCTATGAGTCTGTTTTTGCTTTGGGTTGTTTTGTTTTTTTTAGACTCCATATGGGTGAAATAACATGGTATTTGTTTTCCTCTGTTGGAATGATTTCACTTAGTACAATCCCCTCTAGGACCATCCAAGTTGTCACAAAGGATAAGATTTCATTCTCTTCTTTGGCTGAGTAATATTCCCTTGTATATCTTGTATATCCAATCTGCTATCAATGGATACGTAGGGTGTGCCCATATCTTGGCAATTGTAAATAATGCTGCAATGAAAATGGGGGTGCATATATATTTTCAAGTTAATGTTTTTGGTTGTGTGTTTTTTTTAATATATATATATATACTCAGAAGTGGAATTGCTGGTTCATATGGTAGTTCTAATTTTAATCTTTGAGAAACCTCCATACTATTTTCCATAGTGGCTGCAACAATTTATAATCCCAGCAAGAATGCATAAGGGTTTTTTCTCCACATCCTCCCCAACACTTGTTTGTTGATTTATTGATGCTACCAATTTTGACAGGTGTGAGGTGACACCTCATTAGGGTTTTAATTGGCATTTCTCTGATGATTATGTTAAGCATCTTCCCATATGCCTGTTGGTCATCTGTGTGTCCTCTTTGGAGAAATATCTATTCAGGTCCTCTGCCCAGTTATTAATTGGATCTTTTTTTTTTTTCTTTTTTGTAGTTGTTGTTATTTTTTGGTAAGTTATATGAGTTCCTTGTATATTTGACTTAGTAACCTCTTATCAGATGTATCATTGCTGAATATTTTCCCCATTAGCTAGTTTTTTTTTTTTTGTTTTTTTTTTTGTTTTTTTTTAAATCAATCTTTATTGTTCATATTATTACAAAGGTTCCTCATTTCTTCCCCCCTCCACCAGGTTCCCACCCCACCCTCTGCCCCCTCCCCATCCTCCATTGTCCTAATCCATAGGTGCAGTTTATGTTCAGTCTCTTCTTCCCTCAATTTCCCCGATAGTAAATCCCTTTTCAGATAGTAAATCAGTTCCTTAGCATTTTCTCATATCAATAATACCTCCACATGCCCAATGATACACTTCACACAAAAGACATTTCCCAATAGGTCCACCAGCCTCATCTAGGCCCCACCCAAGGCACTCATAGATCAACACCCCAGCCCTATACTAACTCAACACATCCAGATCTAAGCCTTCATCACTTGATTCAGCAGACCCTCAAGTTCCCACGAAAGTTTCCAGCCATGTCTGAGAGGCAGCCATGGGGCAGGGGCAGGCGAGGAGTGAGCTGTTCCGGGCCTGGCTGCTCAGGGCCTGGCCTCTGTTGCTCTGGTTCGTTCCACAACCAGCTGCTCCGGGTCTGGTCACTGCCGCTCCCGACCTAGTTGCTCTGGACTTGGCTGCTGCTGCTCCGGGCCTGGCCGCACCCGACCCGGCTGCTCCCCCGGGCCTGGCCGCTCCCAGCCTGGCAGCCGCTGCTCCGGGCCTGGCCGCACCCGACCCGCCTGCTCCCCCGGGCCTGGCCGCTCCCAGCCTGGCAGCCGCTGCTCCGGGCCTGGCCGCACCAGCCCCGGCTGCTCCCCCGGGCCTGGCCGCTCCCAGCCTGGCAGCCGCTGCTCCGGGCCTGGCCGCACCTGACCCGGCTGCTCCCCCGGGCCTGGCCGCTCCCAGCCTGGCAGCCGCTGCTCCGGGCCTGGCCGCACCTGACCCGGCTGCTCTGGGCCCGGCTGCCCCAGGCCCGGCCACTCCGAGCCTGGCCACTCCCGACCTGGATGCTCTGGGCTTGGCTACTGCTGTTCTGGGTCTGGCTGCTCCCACCCCGGCTGCTCTGGGCCAGGCTTCTCCGGGCCCGGCCACTCCGGGTCTGGGTGTTCCTGGACTGGCCACCCTGGGCTTGGCCGCCTCCGCCTCATGCCTGGCTGCCACTGCCCCAGGTCTGGCTACTCCAGTGCTGGCTGTTGATGCTCTGGTTCTGGCTGCTGTTGTTCTGGTGCCTGGCCGTTGCTGCTCCGGGTCTGGCTGCCACTGCCTTGTGCCTGGCCACTCTAGGCCTGGCCACCGCTGATCCAACATTCTGTCCTTTTTTTTTTTCTTTTTTCTTTTTAAAACGCATTTATGTTGCAATGTTGGCTGGTGAGTTGAGTTCTGACTTAGTCTTTGATTTTTCAAGATCTTCTTTGTATTCTTTCTTAAGTAATTTTACTATTTTTTTGCTCTCACTTGATTTCTTCACATTGAGAACTTCTTTGGTTTCTTCCTCCTTGTCCTGGGAGCTCAGCAGGTTGGCCTGTGGCACCCCTTTGTTCTCCGCGGGCTCCTGCGCTGCTTCAGCCTGTTGCCGGGACGGTGCTGCCCAGGAAGCAGCCCCCGTCCTTGGCTCCATTGCCCGAGCTCAGTGGTCAAAGGCTCAGGGGCACCCACGCCCCCTGGGGCCCCGTGGCCCGCCTCCTTGCTGGTGCCCGGTTGGCTGGAGTCCGGCAGGGGCTTCAGCTCCCCTCCGCGTTCCCCCAGCCTAGAGCTTTTTTTTTCTCCTTCCCGCTAGGGAAGTCCAGCATCAGAGTCAACAGACTGTCCTCTGTGCGCAGTTTGCGCGAGTCCCACAGACTGTCCTCTGCGCGCAGTTTGCGCGAGTCCCACAGACTGTCCTCTGCGCGCAGTTTGCGCGAATCCCGGGGGCCCGGCCTTTCGCGCTCTCCCCAGACTCCACCTCACAGCCCCGTCTCCCTCTGCCTGAGTCTGGCTCCCCAGGGATTAGCCCAGAACTGGGGTTCGGAGCAGTCCGGACTGAGGCTCAGCGCCGCCGGAGGCCTTGTTTCTTCCGGCTAGGGCAACCCAGCATCAGAGTCAACATTCAGTCCTCTGCGCGCATTGCGCGCGACTCCCGGGGCCCTGCCTTTCGCCGTTTTTCCGCCTCACAGCCCCGTCTCCTCCCGCGGGAGCCTGGGTCCCCAGGGTCTGGCCCATAACTGGGGCTCAGCGCTGCTGGGTTCGGGGGGGTTCAGCACTGCCGGTTCGGGGGTTCAGCCCAGGCTGGGGGTTTTATTTCCTTCCTGCTAGGGAAGGAAAGGCGGCTCCCCGCCCTCTCCTCCTCTCCGGCTGCGACCTCTGCAAGCGTGCGTGCGTGCGGGCGGACGTGCGCGCAGCATGTCTCCGTACCTTAGGCTTTTTTTCAGCTCCTCTGATTTTCTTTCTGGTTTTCTCTTTCCTTCTTGTTGTAGAAATTTCAGTCAGTCGACTACCTGTAGCTCTGGGCAATGTCCACTCTACATTTTAGTTGTATTCCATTGAAATTGTTGTGTGCTGCCGCGGCTAGATGTCTACCCGAGCAGCCATCTTGGATCCTCTCTCCCCATTAGCTAGTTTTGCAAAACCTTTTTAATTTTATGTAGTCTTATTTATTTGTTCCCTTGCTAGAGGAGACATATACAAAAATATTACTATGAGCAATGTTAAAGTTTTTACTGCCTATTTTCCTTCTAGTTTTATGTTTTCAGGCCTTACATTTAAGCCTTTAATCCATTTTGAGTTTACTCTTGTAGATTGTGTAATCCATTTACATTTAAAGTAATTATTGATAGGTAATGTAGTTATTATCATTTTATTATTCATATTTCTATTATTCATGTTTTCATCTTTTTTCTTCTTTTGCTTAAAGAAGTCCTCTTAACATTTCTTATAATATTGGCTTGATAGTAATGGATTCCTTTAGCTTTTCTTATCTGTGAAGCTCTTTATCTGACCTTCAATCCTAAATGAGATAGCTTTGCTGGGTAGAATAATCTTGGTTGTAGGCTTTTCATCACTTTGAAAAATTTCTCATGCCACTCCCTCTGGCCTGTAGTGTTTCTGTTGAGAAACCAGCTGACAATCTTATGGGAGCTCCCTTGTAGGTAACTAACTGCTTTTCTCTTGCTGCTTTTAAGGTTCTTTGTTTTTAACCTTTGGTGTGGGCCTCTTTGAGTTCATCTTGTTTGGGACTCTTGGCACTTCATGGACTTGTATGTGAATTTCCTTCACCAAGTTAAGAAATTTTCAGTCACTATTTCAGCAAATAGGTTTTCAATTCCTTGATCAGAGGTCTCTCTTTTAAAACCTTTATGATTCAAATGTTAATACACTTGATGTTGTCCCAGAGGTCCCTTGAATTTTTCTCTTTTTTTCTGCCTGGCAGCGTGGATCAGTGGTTGTGCGGTGCCCTGAGCAGCCCCATGGTGCAGCCTCATTGGTCACCTGAGCCAGGTGCTCCAGGGGTGTCTCTTGAACAGGTTGTGCATACCGTCCGGTTGTAGTTGGGCCTTGATTGCTGTTAGTGGGTGGGACTGGCCTGGGGCTGGCTGTTCACATGACTACAGTGCATGAGCTATTATGCAGGGCTGACCCCATGGAGCTGGATTTACTTTAGTGGGACTCTGTTCCCAGCTGAGTCCACCCCGGTGGAAGGTCATTTGTGGAAGTGGTTGGGTGGTGCTCTGGTGTGGTCCACAGCTGACCACAGGGTGTGTTGATTCTGAGGCCTCTTGGGAGGGACTCCAGAGCAGGCCAAGGTTGGCCCTGTCTGTGCCGGGCTTGGGGCTACCGTGTAGAAACTGCAGTGTGACCTGCAGTGGGTAACTACCTGAGAGAGGCTCTCCTGAAAACGGAGGCTGGCTGCCCCTCTTGCGGGGCTTGGGGCCCCTTGGCCAGAGGTACGGGGCATGCAGTGGCCAGATGCTGCTCTGGGGTTTTGTGGACCTTGGAGAGATTTCAGGAAAGTCTGCAGCATGGGCAGAGCCGGGCTGCTTGTGAGTAACAGCCACTGTCAGAAGTTGGGGTGGTGCGCACCATGTGTGGGATGAGTCTCAGGGGATGAGCCAGGCTGATGGAGACTCAGACGTGGTGCCTTTGCCTGCAGGCTGGGTGGGTGAGGGCTCAACAAAGGAGCAATGGCACCTGCTGGCATGTTTGTTCCCGAGAGAGCTGCCCTCCAGGCCTCACCCAGAAACCAGACCACTGAGTTGCTCTGCTGTGTCCCCGGTGTGCTCTGAACGGCCTCCCTCTGCTGGAGCTCAGAGCAAGCATTCGTGACCTCAGGCCCTTCACGAGGATGCCTGGGTCTACAGCAGCCTTCCACGTCACCATGGAGCCCTGTGAAGGTCCAGCCTGACACTGTGGGGACTCACTCCTCTTCCTGGTACAGCGGCTCCGAGCGAGGAGCCCAGCACGGCTGAGACCCTCACGCCTCAGCGGCACCTCTGCCGTGGAGCTGTGCCTCCTGGTTCTTAACCACGCGCATGGGTGTGGGACCAGCCTGTTCCACGTCTCCGTGTCTCCTACCAGTCCCATTGTGGCTTCTTCTGTATATCCTTAGTTCCAGTTCTGTTCGGCTAGTCTTCAGCTGGTTCTTAATGATGGCTGCTCTAGACTTTGTCATTTTTTTTTTTTATACTTTAGTTGTCATTTTCATGTGGTTGTGGGACGAGGTAGGAGAGTGTTTGCCTGCTCTGCCATCTTGACCAGAAGTCTGTCCCAATCTTCTAACAGTGGAGTTATCGAGGCCTAGTTCCCACACCACACAGCTCACCCATTCACAGCGCACGGCCCTGTCTCCCCACCGGAAGGATGGCTCACACGGTTTTCCAGAGCCTAGACAGTGTCTGGCCGAAGCAGGGGCTTGGCAAATACTTGTTGAATGAGCGAATGTCACAGAGTCTCGGGACCTCTGCTGGTTGTCTGAGACCTTCCCTTCCTTCAAATCACACCAGGGACCCGGGATGATGTGGCCAGTGGCTCACCCTCTGGGCTGTCAGGGAGGGAACGAGCTCAGGGCAGGTTCTGCGACAGAGGCCTGTCTCAGTGCCGCTGCTGCTCCACCCAGCGCTCCGAGGCGCCCTGCAGGCCAGAGCCCGGCGCTAGGACCCTGGAGCTTCTCCAGCCGCGTGGAGCCACGGGCTGGGGGGACACTGCCAGCCTCTGCCCTGTGCCCCCCCCCAGGACCTTGTGAGAGCCCAGGAACACGCCTGGCAGCACCGATGGGCACGTGCTTCCCACCAGCAGCAGGAGAGACCCTCGCCGCACGGCCCGGGGAAGACGGAGGACCTGCGGTGGCGATGCACCTGCTGCGGGGACAGGGGTGCAGGGCATGTGACATGACAGGCTATCTGCCCGCGATACAGGGGCTGTCGTCCCTCATGCACAGATGGGGACACTCAGAGGTTAGGGACTGGCACCAGGCCGCCCCACTCACAGCCTCACAGCTGCACAAGCCGGGAGAGACCCCGCTTCAGAGAGAAGGAGCCGAGGCCCGGGCTCTGCCGAGCTGAAAGCACCACTGGGAGCCCGGCCTCTGGCCCCCGCCCCCTCCTCCCGCCGGCACAGAGGCACGTCCATCCCCCGGTGCCACGCGGGGAGACCCGGAGCACGCGCCGAGGCTTACCCGAGTCCTGGGAGCAGCTGAAGCCCGTGTCCCCCGTGCTGCTGCTGTGCCCCAGGGGCTGTCCGCCGGCCATGAGCGCCGTGAGGTGTGGGGACAGGCCCAGGTCTGAAAGGCAAAGTCGGCTCTGACCACACCCGGTCGGGGCTCCCGCAGCCCCGACCTCCCACGGCAACCCCTCCGCCTCACCTCCCGCTCTCCCGTCCCCCGTCCTCCCTGCAGGCCAGCCTCAAGCCATGGACAGACAGGCAGCCCGGCCGCCCTCCCCACTGTGCCCTGTGCCGCCCGGGCAGTCTGATTGTGACATAGCTGATGGGTCCCCAGCGGGCACTCCCCTGACAACTCAAACCCACAGGCCGGAGGGAGAGGAAATGGGAGGTGGACCGTCCCGGTGATTTCCCGGTGAAACGTGGAACGTGGGTGTACGTTACCTCCTGAATCCTACCTGGATACCAAGAAGGGCTTTTTAAAAAGGTTTACCGCCCAGAGCAGGACAGAATGCTTGCCATCTGGGTGGGGGGGTGGGGGTGGAGGGGAGTAAGGCAATGGGTGTGACCCGGGAGGGAGCTGGGTTGGTGGTGGGGGAGGCTAGTTCTCCCACTGCGCCCCCAAAGCTCAGGAAGTGGAGGCCCAGGCAGGTGGGCTCAACAGATATCCCTACAGGAAGCAGTGGGCCCCAGTGTCAGCAGGAGAGTGGGGGGACAGGGACCAAGCCTGGCCTGGGAGACACCACACACAGCCCGGTGGACCCCGAGATCGGGACCGTGCACCGGCTCAGCTTCGTTATGAGCCACAGAGGGGAGCCCGGACGCAGGCCTGTCCACAAAGGGCTAGAAAGACAAAGATGGGGAGAGGGGAAACAAGGAAAATGCAGGGAGCTTAAGAAAACAAAAAAGTTCTAATTTTCTCTGAAAGTTGAGAAAACAATGAAGGGGCTGGTGACCAGGGAGGCGACAAAAGGGGGCTCTTAGGAATGAAACCTGAGCTCCAGAGCCAAGCTCTGGTGTGACACGAAGATCTACGGCCTGGTCCACAGCAGGACCTCCTGAAGGGCCACCCCTGTCCTCCACAAACACAAGGAGAGGGAACGCGAGTCTGTACCGTTAGCCTGGTCTTTCCTTTCTTTTTTAAGCCTCACCGGAGGGTATTTTCCCCATTGATTTTCAGAGAGTGGGAGGGAGAGAGAAACATCAATGTGAAAGAGAGACATTGATTGGGTGCCTCCCGCACGGGCTCTGACTGGGGCTGCAACCCAGGTTCATGCCCTTGACTGGGAATCGAACCAGCAACCCCTCTGTGCATGGGCCAACCCTCCGACCCTGAGCCACACCGGCCAGGCTGAGCCTGGTTTTCTGAGGAACAGGCGACAGACACACACTCCCCTCTCTTCTCTGGAGCCGAGGACGACATGCGATGGTGGAGGGACATGCCCTTCCCCGTCAGGACATCCGGGAGCTGCCCTCTTGCCCAAGGTTAGTGTGGTCGGCTGGGGCGAGAACCCACGTGACCACCCCCTCCAGGCTCTGCACCCCAGAACATGACTGAGCCTCAGCGGGAAGCCTGGCTTGGGGAGGAGGCCGGGACTGTTCACTGCCAAGTGGGAAGGCTGAGGCCACAGTGGGTTTGGACACTGACTCTGAGGCTGCGGTGAAAGCCAGGAACCCGTCCCGGTCTCCACAGGGGACTCCCTGCAGCCAGACCAGCGTGGCTGCACTGGAAGGTCTGGGGGCCGCGCGGCCAGGTGCCCTCCCGTCCGTTCCCCCAGCATTCCCACCAGAGTGGGCGCTGTCACCCCGAGATTCTTCACGGGAAACAGCAGACCTACTGGGCTGAGCCCAACCCAGCCCTCTGACCGTTATTCTAAAGGCACAGCGAGAGGCCCCAGGGGTCAGGCACAAGCCGGGGCAGCTAGGGGTCACCTGTGAGAGGCATGGCAGTGAGAGGGCATTCTGAAGTAACCGAAGGCTCCAGGTGGCACCAGGAAAGGGACTGGGGAAAGCAGGTGGGAACATTTGAAGGCTCCAGCGTGGCCCTCCCTCCCTGCAGTCAGGCCTTCTGTAAAGGGCCCAGGAGCCAGCATGTCCTCCGGGTCCCCGTGAGCCTTGTCCCCAGAAGACCCTGGGGCGGCACTGTGCCTGGTGCCAGGAGCCGGGAGCATCGGGCGAGTGGTGTTTGGATAGGCTGTCCTGCCCCGGAGGCCAGGCCACCTCCAGACTCCTAGGGGGACAGGGGGTCTGCTAACGACACTGCACGATTAGAAGATACCTGGGTGGCTCCGTGGCAGGCGACAGGGACCCCCGGCTCCCGTTCCTGGAGAAGGCCAACCACTCCTGTCCCCCACACTCTTCAACCGGAGTCCTCCCAACAAGACCACGTCTCCCCAATGAGCAGGAGACCGCCGGCTGCCTGGGCCCTGCCAACCCAACCACAGCTGGGTCTGCCGCCCGCCCTCACAGCCTCCGAGCTCTTCCCGGCTGATCACCAGTGACTCGCATGGGGAATCTTGGCCTGAGAAGCAGATGTTTCTTTTCGTTCTGTCTACCCTCTCCTTCTCCATTCGCTTTCCTATTTTTTCCCTTCCTCGTTCTTCATAAAAAACCTTAACTTTTAAATTTTATTTTTTCCTGGAAGATAAGTTTTATGTCACTGGTTAACTTGAACAAGTTAACCAGTGACATAAAACCAAGCCCAGAAGGTACTCATGGCTTACATGTCACACTTGAAAACATGATCTCGCAAGTGTCCTGGGTGGGCATTCCAGTGGCTGAGGGATGGGGAGACTTAGTTTCTCCTTTGGCCAAAAGTCCCAGAATGCCTTCCTCTCTCAAGAAGTAACACTCCATCAGCCCACGAAATACACCAGTGGTGTTGGCGTATGTAACTGCCTCCTAGCATCACTGCCGTTGAGTATTGGTGGTCATCAGGAGGAGCTCTCTCTCTCCACCCTCTGTTTCAGGAAGAGGAAAACTCCGTCTGAGTGGAGTGAGCTGCCCAAAGTCACCAGCAGGAGATGGGAACTGCAGCCTGTCAGGCTTTTTACATAAACACTGCATAAGTGCCCTCAGATCTCTCTTCCCTCAGCTCGTCCAGGTGAGGGCCCCTCAAACAGGACCCTCCAAACCCCGCTGCTTCTCCATCAGGACAACAGGGCAGCCACTGCAGGAGGCGAGGCCCCGAAAAGCATGAAAAACGGGACAGAGGGAGGAGCGGCAGGACGTGAACAGTTGCCTCACAGCACCTCCCGGTTGTACTTGTTAATGACAAACAGCGGCTGTGAGAGGTGCACCACCTTCCCTGTGTGGAGTGAGCATCGGTACCCCTCCCCCCCCCGATTCACTCCGTGAAGCCCTGGCCCAGTGTGAGGGCATTGGAGGCGGGGCCTGTGGGAGGTAATCACATGCGGCCGTTAGGCTGGGGTTCTCGTAAGAAGAGACCAGAGAGCTTGTTCCCTCCCTCCCCCGTCCCCATGAGACAGCCAGGGGGGAACCGCACCCGAGCCCTGCCCGGCCCCAGCCTCCTGGCCTGTCTGCGTGTGAGCCGCCAGGCCATGGTGCTCTCTCACAAGGACCCGCGCTTACCGAGACATCGCCCAAGAGATGCCGGGTTCCATGGTAACAAGGCACCGAGCCCCACGTGCCCCTGGCACCATCACTGAGAGGGGTCCCCGCCAAAAGCCTAAACCTCCCTCTGATCCCGAGAACACACGCTGAGGGGCTGCCCCCAAACCCTGGCCAGCGTGCACAAGTGTTCGTGTCACGAGACAAGGAGAGAAAAGGGCGTGAGTGGCAGGGAGACCGCTGGCCACGTGGGACGGGAAGAGACGGGAGTGGGAAACGGGCGGCCCCTGAGCCCAGTCTGCCGTCAGGGGTCGGTGTGGCCGTCGGGGCTGGTGACCCTGTGGTCAGGCAAGACGTTCGCTCTGGGGGAGGCTGGGCTTCCCCAGCCCTTCCAAAGTCTAAATTATCTAAAATAAAGAGGTTATAAGGCCTGTCCCTGTCCAGAGTGTTCCTGTGGCTCTCACCAAAGGGGACGGGATGGCGTCCAGAAGCTTGTTTGTCCTGAATCCACTGTCTGACTGAGGAGAGGGAGCCTCGCAGGGACATTGGGGGGGGGGGGGGGGGGGGGAGAGAAGAGAGAAGAGGGGGAGGGGCTGAATCATGAGGGACAATCTAGGACCCCAGTGACCTGGGACGAAAGGCCAAGAACGTGCCCAGTGAGGATGAGCGTGAGGAGGAAGGGAGTGGCGGAGAGTAGGCGGCGGGGCGCGGGGTGCGGGGTGTTCTCTCAGGCAGGGGGAGCGGTCCTCTGGAGGCCAGGACGGGGCGGGGACCAGGAAGCAGACCTCTGAGCTCCGGCGCCCCTGCCGTGAGCTGCTCAGCCCGGGAAAGCCCCTCCCCCAAAGGAAACCGAGCTCAGCCTCCAGCCACCCGGGCGTGAGGCCTCGGCCGCGCCACGCCGGAGGCCCTCGGTGGGGAGGACCGCGGTGGGGAGGCCCTCGGTGGGGAGGCCCTCGGAGGGGAGGACCTCGGTGGGGAGGACCTCGGTGGGGAGGACCTTCGTGGGGAGGACCTCGGTGGGGAGGACCTTCGTGGGGAGGACCTCGGTGGGGAGGACCTCGGTGGGGAGGACCTTCGTGGGGAGGACCTCGGTGGGGAGGACCTCGGTGGGGAGGCCCTCGGTGGGGAGGACCTTCGTGGGGAGGACCTCGGTGGGGAGGACCTCGGTGGGGAGGACCTTGGAGGGGAGGCCCGCGGTGGGGAGGACCTCGGTGGGGAGGCCCTCGGTGGGGAGGACCTCGGAGGGGAGGACCTCGGTGGGGGGAGGACCTCCGTGGGGAGGACCTTGGAGGGGAGGCCCGCGGTGGGGAGGCCCTCGGTGGGGAGGACCTCGGAGGGGAGGACCTCGGTGGGGGGAGGACCTCGGTGGGGAGGCCCTCGGTGGGGGGAGGACCTCGGTGGGGAGGACCTCGGTGGGGAGGCCCACGGTGGGGAGGACCTCGGTGGGGAGGACCTCGGAGGGGAGGACCTCGGAGGGGAGGACCTCGGTGGGGAGGACCTCGGTGGGGAGGACCGCGGTGGGGAGGACCTCGGTGGGGAGGACCGCGGTGGGGAGGACCTCGGAGGGGAGGACCTCGGTGGGGAGGACCTCCGTGGGGAGGACCTCCGTGGGGAGGACCTCCGTGGGGAGGACCTCCGTGGGGAGGACCGCGGTGGGGAGGACCTCGGTGGGGAGGCCCGCGGTGGGGAGGACCTCCGTGGGGAGGACCTCGGTGGGGAGGACCTTGGAGGGGAGGCCCGCGGGCTGCCGGGCGGAGGGGAGCATCCCGACCGCCTCCCGGGCACCTGTGATCCTGTTGGAGATGCTGAAGAGCCGGGCCGTCCGCTGCCGCTGCGCGAAGGGCTCCCGGCAGTACCGGTCCCCGAAGCACATGCCCAGCAGCTCCCGGCGCACCGTCTTGTTCCAGAGCCCGTAGATGAGCGGGTGGCACACGGCGCTGCCGAAGCTCAGCCAGGTGGCCCAGGTCTCCAGGCGCGGGGGCACGCAGTTCTCGCCCCAGAGCGCCTCGCAGGCGATGACCACCATGTAGGGGCCCCAGGTGAGCAGGAAGGCGCCGAGCACCACCAGGATGGTGACCAGCGCCTTGCACTGGTTGGCGGAGTAGACGGCGCCCTGGAAGGCGTTCCTGCGGCTGCCCGAGGAGGACGTGGAGGTGCTGGAGTTCTTGCGGCCGGTCGCCTGGGCGTCCTCCTGCCCCAGCACCACCGCCCCGCAGTGCACCTTGCGGGCCTTGACCCGGGCCACGCGGAAGATGAAGCCGTAGCACACCAGCATGACCAGGAAGGGGAACAGGGCGCACCAGATCTGCCAGAAGGCCGTGTAGCCCGGCTCCCGGTGCCACGCGGCCACGCACATCCACTTGAACTCGTCAAACTCCACGGAGGACCAGCCGAAGAGCGGGGGCAGGCAGCCGACCAGGGAGTGGAGCCAGATGTAGACGAGAGCCATCACCGCGCGGTTCCCCGTGATCTTCATGGGGTACACCATGGGGTACAGGACGGCGTAGTAGCTGGAGAGGACGGGAAGCGAGAGAGGAGTCAAAAGAGAGAAAACACCGGGCTGGGCACCCGCGGCTTTCCGTGGAGAGCACCTCCCCACCCAGATCGGGACGGGAATGCCGGCCACGAGGGCGTCCCCGAGGGCAGTGCACGCAGGGGGGGGCGGCCACGCGGACGCCGCCCGGTGCAGGCAGGCCTGGAGGAGAGACTGTGGCTCCAGCCTCACTGTCACCGCGAAGCCAGTCATCCACCAGGGCCTTCTGAGTCCCTGAGGACACAGCTCCGGTCAGCCTGAGGCTGCCGGCCTCACATCTGGCCTAGAGACACGGACAGAGCGGGCATGTGCCCCGGGCACAGCCATCAGTTATCCTGGCATCTGCGTCTGCCTCTCACTGAGGCCACGCGTGCAGCAGAGAGAGAAACAGGCCTCCGAGCAGGGGCGCTGGCTCCGCGGTGGCTCTGCCGGGTGCAGGCTGCGTGGCCCGGGGAAGCTGACTCAGCCGCCCAGAGCTCTGTTCCTCCATCTGTGACCGGAACCACAGAGCCTCGCCTCCGATCCGCCGGGGCCAGGCCTGCAGCACGCCGCCCTTAAAGGGCAGGGGCCCCGCTTGTCTCTGCCTGGGCACCACCTGCTCCCCCTTCTTCCTCCTGCTTCTTCCTCCCCTCCTCTGTGGACAGGCCGCCCTCTAACGTGCTCCCGCAAGGCCGGAGCACAAGGCCACTGTGACCACAGCAGCCCGAGTCCTGGGGAATGGGTCAGGCCGCGCTGGTGGTCGCCTCGCCCAGAGACGGGGGGAGACACTGGCCTGGGTCCCATCTCCCTGGCCAAGGAATGGGAGGGGAGTTCGCCGAGGGCACGTTCCCGAAGAACGAGGCTGCTTTCTCTTTGCTCTGCCCTCTGCAATGCGTGTGGCGGCGGCCTCAGGCCCGGGGAGGCCGGGCGGCGGGCGGAGGCCTCAGGCCCGGGGCAGCCAGGCGGCGGGCGGAGGCCCGGGGAGGCTGGGCAGCGGGCGGAGGCCTCAGGCCCAGGGCGCCGGGCGGCGGGCGGAGGCCTCAGGCCCGGGGCGGCCGGGCGGCAGGCGGAAGCTCCGCCCGGAGGATGCCAGCTCTCTTGGCTCCCTGACCAATCCCGTCTGGCCGGGGCAAAAACAATCACGATTAATAACCGTCCTCCGCACAGCCTCTGGCTTTCCTCAAGCCGCTGTTAGTGTTCGCACGTTATGGCAAGGCTTCAGCTTCACTGTGACAAATGGTGTTTACATCCCTCCAGACTGAGGTCCTGGCGGGAGCAGGTCCCGCCATGACAGTGAGTTCTCCCAGCTGCATCCGAGCCCGGGGCAGGCCCAGCCCAGGAGCCCCACGGACGGGCTGCAGCCCTGCTGTGTACCTCCACACCGCCAGGCCATTCCGTCTTCGGGGGGCTTGGGGAGGAAATGCATATACATGGAAATGCACCAATCGACACCTCTATCGTTTCCATGTCTGCCACAAAAGGCAGATTTGGTAGATGTGAAACTTCATGTTTGACAGTTAAGCCTCATTTAGGCCTTGCTGCAGGTTCAGAGGAAAATGGAGACAAGGGCAGCTTCCCCCGCGGGGGAACGAGGGCGAAGTCAGGGTTCCTCTGCTCCCTGTACCCCGGCTGTCTTCCGAAGCCCCCCGTCTGTTCTCCCACAACTCCCGCTCCGACCGGAGCCCCCAGGCCACGTCCCCCGGCTTCCTGATGGCACCTGTGCTGAACAGCCGCCCGGAGACCAGCGACCTGGGCATGACCCTGGCTTTCACAGGAGGCTCCCCCACAGCACGAACAGCCCTGTGGCCCCCCCGGGGCACAGTCACTCATGCCGAGCATGGCTTTCCTCACGGAACGGGGCCGGCCGTGGCTCCAGCTGCTTTCTCTGATGGGAACGGCTGGGAGCTGGCGTTCCCTCCAGGGTAAAGGGCCGCCTGCTTCCTCCTCCCCGTCCTCCCCGTGCAGGCCTTGGGCCTTGGGCCTTGGGCCTGGCCTGTGCCCTGCACGGACAACCCAGCCACCATTTGTCAGCTAAAACCCTGATGGTCCCACGGGAGCCCGGGGGCTGTGTCAGCCACTGACAGTGTCCCGGGCTGGACCCTCTGTGTTCCCCTGACGGCGTCTTCCCCTGACGCGTCACGCGGAACCGGAGTCTCCCTCCTGCCCGAGGAAGTCCCCCCACCCCGGGGGGGAATGAGCGGACCGTCAGCAAAATGCAAACCCCCAAGCTGCCCCCGGGACAGCCACAGCGGGACTCCGAGGGCGCCTGTCGGATGCCGCAAGGGGCACCCGCTGCCCCTCCTTACAGAGGGGACGTTGGTAAGTCTCTGCACTGTGGACGGGGCAGTGTTTCCTCTTTGCGTCCCCACCCCAAGCCCAGCTCTGGCCCAGGTCAAAACAACAGGCAGAGGACAGCAGGTCTAATCCCTCCTCGGCCAGGTCAGCTTTCACAGCTGCTGTTTCTCTTCTCTACGCCAAGAGTCAGGGGTCTCTGTGAATGCTTTTTAAAAGCCCTGGAACTTTAAAAAAAAAAAAAAAAAAAAAAAACTACAGGGAGAATGATATATAAACATATACAAATATTACAGATTACATACACAGGGCACTGGGCCCGAATGCCTACTGCCAGCCCCTCCCAGGATGCATCCTCTCTCTCGGCCTGGGCAGGGGCAGGGATGTAATGTTGGAAAGGGCTCCAGTGTTCCATGACACTAAACAGAATGCAATAGCAAACCTCTTACCTAATAATAGTCAAACATGTAAATTGACCGTACCTCCGCTATGCCACTAGTCAATCAGAAGTGACATGCAAATCAACCCAACAAAGATAGCGGTTAATTTGCATACACAGGCGCAGCGTGATGGGGGCTGGACACTTGCATCATCTCCATGGCGATGACGCAGGCGTTCTGCCCCACCCCCGGTCTCTCAGGGCCTCTGGGCAGTGTGGGAAGGTGGGGCTGGAACAGAAAGAGGCAGCTCCAGGGCCTGAGCAGAAAGGGGCTGGGCCAGAGTGGAAAGGCAGTGTCGGCAGCCAGGGAAAGGAAAGCCCAATCTAGCATGAATCTTCGTGCATCGAGCTTCTAGTGTATACAATAAATGATAGATAAAACTCCATGCAAGAGAGACGAGGTAAGGCCCAAGGTCCTCTGGCAAAGGCAGAGCTCTGCTTTCTCCCCTGGCCCCACAGAGCCCGGCACCCTCCCCAGGAGCTCAGCGTGGCAACCCCAGGCCCAGGTGCCCACGCCAGGTACCTCTGCACACCTTCCCACGTCCTCCGTCCTCCGACCTGCGGCAGGCTTACCGGTCGATGGCGATGACGCCGAGGGTGAGCATGCTGGCCGAGCTGATGAGCAGGTACAGGAGGGCGGAGAAGTTGCACCAGACCACCCCGAAGATCCATTCCCGCCGGATGGAGCTGGTCACCACGAAGGGCAGCACCAGCACCGACAGCAGGAAGTTGGAGAGCGTCAGGCTGAAGACGAACTTGTTGCTGAGGGTGAGCAGGTAGGACTTCTTGTACAAGGTGACCACGATGACCAGGTTGCCCAGGCAGACGAAGATGGTGATGACCACGATGGCGATGAACTCGGCGACGACGGCGCCCCCTTCCCCGGCGGCCGCCCCCGTGCGGTTGCTCAGCTCCTTCCAGTGGCCCAGAGAGGAGTTGAGGCTCATGGTCAGCGCGCCTGGGCGTGGGGTGGGCACAGCATGCTGATGACTGGGGGGACAGGGCAAGAGGGGGGACAGGAAAGGTCATCGGGTCAGACCACCCGACCTCCACAGAGAGCAGCAGAGGCCCCGGGCCCCAGGCTCCTCCAGAGGCCCCACCAGCCTCCCTGCCAAGCTCTGCACACACGGCCCGTTGTCTGCAACCCACTCTGTGTGCCCCCCACTCACTGTGTCCCCGTGATCGGGGCCTCCTCCGTGCTAACCGGCCATCATCCCACCAGGCCGGCAGCTCCAACCTTGAATGCACCAACGAGCCATCCTGAGTGTCAGCCCCAAGGGTCACCTGCTAGATTCCGGCCCCCGAGACCAGAGGCGGGGCCTAGGAGTCTGCATGTGAGAGGGGCTGGAGCAGGTGGTCCTGGAACAAGTGGTGTCCGGGGGCACGCTGCGGGCCCTGGAGCTTACCGGACAGGCGGCCTCAGCCTCCGCCTGTGACTCGGAGCCAGGCCTGGGTGCTGCCCCCGCCACGCTGACCCGGGTGCTCTGCGCAGACAGCAGGCCCCCGGGGGCACTGTTCTGAGGACCCGAGCAGGGCAGAAGCAAGTGCACCTCCCACAGAGACGTTACTGTGGCTGCGCCGGACAAGGACCCCACACCGATACCAGTGGGAGGAGAGGGACCAGTTAGGGGGCGGGCCCACAGGCCCCGTTCTCAGAGAGGCGCCGTTCGGGCTCTCGGGAAACCAGCTCGGGACCTTGGCTGGAACTCAGCATTGACACACATTAGCAGGAACTGCAGCCGATGAAGGTCTCTCCAAAAACTTCGTCTGCCACAATCGGCCAAAAACCCCAGTCACTTTCCCCACCTGCTCTGGCTCCCCACACACAGAAGACACCAGAAAGAAAGGAGAGATTGCTTTGCTGGAGCCAGACGGGAAGAGCCGGTGCCTCACACAGCACAGCCCTCCGGCCTCAGGAGCTGCTGGGATGGGAGGCAGCCCGGCCCCACCGGCTCTCCCAATGACAAGATTCCCTTCCGCGGAGCCACCGCTGAGGGTCATGACCCCGGGTCCTCGGCCCGCTCGCTGGAGCAGGACCCAGTAATCCCGGTCTCTCCTGCATTTGACAGCCTCGAAATACGTCACAAGCTACTTCCTTCCCTTCTCCAGATAAAGCTCCCCGATCCCGAGATGCCGTCCAGGCCGCCCCTACCTCAGACTCCCTGCCGGGGACCTGCTCACGGGTGTCTGTGACCCTCTCCACGGGTGGTCCCCAAACCTGCACACACCCTTCTGGATGTGGTGGGTGAGGGCAATTTCCTCCACGATCAGGGGAATCTCGAAGAAGCGTTTTCTTAAGCCAGTGTATCAGCCTGCTGGGCTTAATGAGATCACGTCAGTGTGAGCTCAACGAAAAGCCAATGATCACACACACGCATTTCTGTGAAGGAAGGCAGACACCCCCAAAATGGAACCTATGAAATCAATGTCTTTAAGCCTAAATTTAAAAAAAAAAAATGTATTTCTATTACATTCTATTTTGTCCACTTCAGCCCGTGTGTCCGGGCTGCCAAAGCATTCTGACTTTGGATGCAATGTGCTAGGTTCCCCCAGCTCCGTGCCAGGACTGCGCTTCAGAGATGAGCCCGGAGGTCTGTCTTCGGGGGGTCATTGTGGGCTTCGTCTTTACTCTGTGAGCTGCAGGTTTTGTTAACTCTTACCTGCAAATTATTCATCGCTGTCTCAAAACAAGGCCCTACATAAGCTGTTACTCTTAAAAAAAATAATAATATATATAATATATTTTTTTATTGATTTTTTTTAAATCAATAAAAAGGGAGAGAGATAGAGAGCTAGAAACATCGATGAGAGAGAAACATCGACCAGCCACCTCCTGCACACCCCCTACTGGGGACTTGCCCGCAACCAATGTACATGCCCCTGACCGAAATCGAACCCGGGACCCTTCAGTCCGCAGACCGATGCTTTACCACTGAGCCAAACCGGTTTTAGCTAAGCTGCTAGTCTTAACTGCACACGTGATAACAGTGGCTCAGAAGACAGACTCTGAGAGCCCTGGCTGGGTAGCTCACGTGGTCAGAGCACCATCAAACCTACACCAAGGCTGCAGGTTTGATCCCCGTCAGGGCACATACAAGAATCAACCAATGAATGCATGAAAAGGTGGAACAAAAAATTTTTTTTTTTTTTTTTTTTTTTTTAAGCAATCTTTATTGTTCATATTATTACAAAGGTTCCTCATTTCTTCCCCCCTCCACCAGGTTCCCACCCCACCCTCCGTCCCCCCCCATCCCCCATTGTCCTCATCCATAGGTGCAGTTTATGTTCAGTCTCTTCTTCCCTCAATTTCCCCAATAGTAAATCCCTTTTCAGATAGTAAATCAGTTACTTAGCATTTTCTCATATCAATAATACCTCCACATGCCCAATGATACACTTCACACAAAAGACATTTCCCACTAGGTCAACCAGCCTCATCCAGGCCCCACCCAAGGCACTCACAGATCAACACCCCAGTCCTAAACTAACTCAACACATCCAGATATAAGCCTTCATCACTTGATTCAGCAGACACTCAAGTTCCCACGAAAGTTTCCAGCCATGTCTGAGAAGCAGCCGTGGGGCAGGGGCAGGCAAGGAGCGAGCTGTTCTGGGCCTGGCTGCTCAGGGCCTGGCCTCTGTTGCTCTGGTTCATTCCACAACCAGCTGCTCCGGGTCTGGTCACTGCCGCTCCCAACCTAGTTGCTCTGTACTTGGCTGCTGCTGCTACGGGCCTGGCCGCTCCCAGCCTGGCAGCCGCTGCTCCGGGCCTGGCCGCACCCGACCCGGCTGCTCCCCCGGGCCTGGCCGCTCCCAGCCTGGCAGCCGCTGCTCCGGGCCTGGCCGCACCCGACCCGCCTGCTCCCCCGGGCCTGGCCGCTCCCAGCCTGGCAGCCGCTGCTCCGGGCCTGGCCGCACCAGCCCCGCCTGCTCCCCCGGGCCTGGCCGCTCCCAGCCTGGCAGCCGCTGCTCCGGGCCTGGCCGCACCCGACCCGGCTGCTCCCCCGGGCCTGGCCGCTCCCAGCCTGGCAGCCGCTGCTCCGGGCCTGGCCGCACCCGACCCGGCTGCTCCCCCGGGCCTGGCCGCTCCCAGCCTGGCAGCCGCTGCTCCGGGCCTGGCCGCACCAGCCCCGCCTGCTCCCCCGGGCCTGGCCGCTCCCAGCCTGGCAGCCGCTGCTCCGGGCCTGGCCGCACCCGACCCGGCTGCTCCCCCGGGCCTGGCCGCTCCCAGCCTGGCAGCCGCTGCTCCGGGCCTGGCCGCACCCGACCCGGCTGCTCCCCCGGGCCTGGCCGCTCCCAGCCTGGCAGCCGCTGCTCCGGGCCTGGCCGCACCCGACCCGGCTGCTCCCCCGGGCCTGGCCGCTCCCAGCCTGGCAGCCGCTGCTCCGGGCCTGGCCGCACCCGACCCGGCTGCTCCCCCGGGCCTGGCCGCTCCCAGCCTGGCAGCCGCTGCTCCGGGCCTGGCCGCACCAGCCCCGCCTGCTCCCCCGGGCCTGGCCGCTCCCAGCCTGGCAGCCGCTGCTCCGGGCCTGGCCGCACCAGCCCCGCCTGCTCCCCCGGGCCTGGCCGCTCCCAGCCTGGCAGCCGCTGCTCCGGGCCTGGCCGCACCCGACCTGCCTGCTCCCCCGGGCCTGGCCGCTCCCAGCCTGGCAGCCGCTGCTCCGGGCCTGGCCGCACCAGCCCCGCCTGCTCCCGCGGGCCTGGCCGCTCCCAGCCTGGCAGCCGCTGCTCCGGGCCTGGCCGCACCCGACCCGGCTGCTCCCCCGGGCCTGGCCGCTCCCAGCCTGGCAGCCGCTGCTCCGGGCCTGGCCGCACCAGCCCCGCCTGCTCCCGCGGGCCTGGCCGCTCCCAGCCTGGCAGCCGCTGCTCCGGGCCTGGCCGCACCAGCCCCGCCTGCTCCCCCGGGCCTGGCCGCTCCCAGCCTGGCAGCCGCTGCTCCGGGCCTGGCCGCACCAGCCCCGCCTGCTCCCCCGGGCCTGGCCGCTCCCAGCCTGGCAGCCGCTGCTCCGGGCCTGGCCGCACCAGCCCCGCCTGCTCCCCCGGGCCTGGCCGCTCCCAGCCTGGCAGCCGCTGCTCCGGGCCTGGCCGCACCCGACCCGCCTGCTCCCCCGGGCCTGGCCGCTCCCAGCCTGGCAGCCGCTGCTCCGGGCCTGGCCGCACCCGACCCGGCTGCTCCCCCGGGCCTGGCCGCTCCCAGCCTGGCAGCCGCTGCTCCGGGCCTGGCCGCACCCGACCCGCCTGCTCCCCCGGGCCTGGCCGCTCCCAGCCTGGCAGCCGCTGCTCCGGGCCTGGCCGCACCAGCCCCGCCTGCTCCCCCGGGCCTGGCCGCTCCCAGCCTGGCAGCCGCTGCTCCGGGCCTGGCCGCACCAGCCCCGCCTGCTCCCCCGGGCCTGGCCGCTCCCAGCCTGGCTGCCGCTGCTCCGGGCCTGGCCGCACCCGACCCGACTGCTCCCCCGGGCCTGGCCGCTCCCAGCCTGGCAGCCGCTGCTCCGGGCCTGGCCGCACCCGACCCGGCTGCTCCCCCGGGCCTGGCCGCTCCCAGCCTGGCAGCCGCTGCTCCGGGCCTGGCCGCACCAGCCCCGGCTGCTCCCCCGGGCCTGGCCGCTCCCAGCCTGGCAGCCGCTGCTCCGGGCCTGGCCGCACCAGCCCCGCCTGCTCCCCCGGGCCTGGCCGCTCCCAGCCTGGCAGCCGCTGCTCCGGGCCTGGCCGCACCCGACCCGCCTGCTCCCCCGGGCCTGGCCGCTCCCAGCCTGGCAGCCGCTGCTCCGGGCCTGGCCGCACCCGACCCGCCTGCTCCCCCGGGCCTGACCGCTCCCAGCCTGGCAGCTGCTGCTCCGGGCCTGGCCGCACCCGACCCGCCTGCTCCCCCGGGCCTGACCGCTCCCAGCCTGGCAGCTGCTGCTCCGGGCCTGGCCGCACCTGACCCAGCTGCTCTGGGCCCGGCTGC